GTGCCTGGCGAGGGGGCCGCCAGCCCCGCCTGTGACTTGGTAACGGTGGGTGCAGTTGTGCACAGGGACATATCCATGTGGGGACTATGAGTAGCCACGTGGAAAGCAGTTCTGGGCACTGGGGGTGACAATGGAATGTGCAAATGCCAGCATTTCCCCTTTTGGGGTGCTCCCGGGGCATCGATGAGAAACTGACCAGGGCTTCCAGAACGAAAGTAGAGCTCCGGACAGGTGGGCCTTGTCCGTGGCCCAGGACACACATTCTGCACAGCCCCACCCATGCTCCAGGGACCACGGGTCACATGCCAGAGCTGCATGAGGTCACCAGGGGAGGGAATCCGCTGACTCAGGCCTGTGTCACACGTGGGGGGTCAGAGGCTGAGCTGAAGACAGAACCAGGGCTGGCATGGCCCCGTGACCCCCAGGCCAGCTTGCCGCACATGGGGGTGCGTGCCTGGAGTCCCTCTTCCTCCACCACCACAGGAGAGGGGAAGGCGGCCCCAGGAACTGCTGGCCGGGCTCTGGCATCCCTCCTTCCGATCTTGTCCCCTGTCTGAGTCCTCTTGAATCTGAAGTCACGCTGTATACACATTTGTGTATCCTGGTTTTTCACTGTCACTGACCGCAGAAGCCCTTTGTCCCTTCTGTGAGTTCTCAGGGTCTGCCCCAATTCTTCCAACTGCAAGGCCCACAGGAAACTTGGCCGTCCCCTGCTGCTGAACACCTACATCAATTCCAGCCCTGGGTACCACACTGGTATCTTAGGACAGCCAGGAGATGTGGGTATGGTTCTCTCTGTTTTACAGATGAGGATGCAGAGGCCCAGAGAGCTTAGGTAACATGCCCAAGGTCACACAGCTGGAAAGTGGCAGGATTGAGGCTTCAAATGCAGGCTGCCTGACTCCAAAGCCCAGCATTTATTTACCTCATTTGCAGTGATGCTGAGGTCAACACTGGGCAATTGAACTTCAGTGCATATTCCCAGTTATTTCTCAGGATAATGTGCTGGAAGAGAGATGGCTGGGTCAAAGGGCAGGGGCGGTTTTAACAATCTTTAGAGTCAGTGCCAAATGGTATTCCAGAAATTGTCTTCCTACTGCTGCCTGCCCTCCTGACTGGTCCTCATAAATGCCCATATTATGTGAGCGCCAAGGGCCGACCCTCGGTCACCCACAATGGCCCTGCTTCCCTTATCAGTCTTGGCTAATTTGATAAGCAAAATAAAACATAGTAATACTATATTGTGTTGATTAGGACTTTTTAAATTATTAGTGAGGCTAGACTCTTAATTTTTAGGAGGCAGAAGTCTGGGTTTTAACTGTCTGGCCTCGACCTTAGCACCCTTGGGGCTGCTGCAGATGGCACTGGCCAGGGCCCAGCCTGCGGCAGGTGTGGCTGGAAAACTGTTCTGACTGCTGTCCGGGGCCTCCGTGACGTAGACCTGCATTGTTTCAACGGGCACTACATCCATCTTCACATTTTTCTCCTTCAAGGACAATCAACCAACACGTGCTCACGAAGACTGGAGAAGCAGCCCACGGAGGGTGTCCGGGAGCCATCCTACCGCTCCACAGCTGTCTTGCTACAGGCAGCGTTTACCGAAAAAGGCACCTATTCCCCCAGAAGGCACCAGCTAGTCTATTCTCTCCACATGCGGGCACGTCTGCTTGGCCTGCCCCAGGGTGCAAGGTTATATGAGGGCTTTTTACCCTCAGGCTGGTGTGGAGAAGCACATGGGACCTGGTACCAGCCTCTGTCCTCTCAGAGTGAAGCCAGTACAGTCCCTGCCTGGACGGAGGCCCTGCACGGTCGGGGCTCACGCCATACTAGCTCGTGGCCCCTCTGTGCTGCTGCTCTCGGTCAGCCCTGGTTCCAGGTGCAGGGACAGAGGCCCAGAGATGTTAGGGAACCTGCTCACAGTGGGTATGGTTCTCTCTGTTTTACAGATGAGGATGCAGAGGCCCAGAGAGCTTAGGTAACATGCCCAAGGTCACACAGCTGGAAAGTGGCAGGATTGAGGCTTCAAATGCAGGCTGCCTGACTCCAAAGCCCAGCATTTATTTACCTCATTTGCAGTGATGCTGAGGTCAACACTGGGCAATTGAACTTCAGTGCATATTCCCAGTTATTTCTCAGGATAATGTGCTGGAAGAGAGATGGCTGGGTCAAAGGGCAGGGGCGGTTTTAACAATCTTTAGAGTCAGTGCCAAATGGTATTCCAGAAATTGTCTTCCTACTGCTGCCTGCCCTCCTGACTGGTCCTCATAAATGCCCATATTATGTGAGCGCCAAGGGCCGACCCTCGGTCACCCACAATGGCCCTGCTTCCCTTATCAGTCTTGGCTAATTTGATAAGCAAAATAAAACATAGTAATACTATATTGTGTTGATTAGGACTTTTTAAATTATTAGTGAGGCTAGACTCTTAATTTTTAGGAGGCAGAAGTCTGGGTTTTAACTGTCTGGCCTCGACCTTAGCACCCTTGGGGCTGCTGCAGATGGCACTGGCCAGGGCCCAGCCTGCGGCAGGTGTGGCTGGAAAACTGTTCTGACTGCTGTCCGGGGCCTTCGTGACGTAGACCTGCATTGTTTCAACGGGCACTACATCCATCTTCACATTTTTCTCCTTCAAGGACAATCAACCAACACGTGCTCACGAAGACTGGAGAAGCATCCCACGGAGGGTGTCCGGGAGCCATCCTACCGCTCCACAGCTGTCTTGCTACAGGCAGCGTTTACCGAAAAAGGCACCGATTCCCCCAGAAGGCACCAGCTAGGCTATTCTCTCCACATGCGGGCACGTCTGCTTGGCCTGCCCCAGGGTGCAAGGTTATATGAGGGCTCTTTACCCTCAGGCTGGTGTGGAGAAGGACATGGGACCTGGTACCAGCCTCTGTCCTCTCAGAGTGAAGCCAGTGCAGTCCCTGCCTGGACGGAGGCCCTGCACGGTCGGGGCTCACGCCATACTAGCTCGTGGCCCCTCTGTGCTGCTGCTCTCGGTCAGCCCTGGTTCCAGGTGCAGGGACAGAGGCCCAGAGATGTTAGGGAACCTGCTCACAGCACCCGGAGCAGTGCCCACATGGAGGCGGGATCTAAATCTGGGCAGCTCTGGCATCTGTGCTGTCAGCCACACAGCTTGCGTCTCACCTTGTCTGAAGAGCTGGCATCTCCCTGGAGACATGGAATGACATTCCATGCATGGCAGGGCTGTCACCTGTGAACGTGGCCTGGGCTAGGGGGACGGGGAACCCAGGAGAGACCTCCCCCTGTGTGGGAGATGGGAGCTGAGCTGAGGGGTGGCTGCCTGGATTCCCCAGGTGGCGGGTGGGTGGCGGGTCCTGAGCGCTGATGGCACCCAAGCTGGAGGCCTTGCTGCTGACCGGACACCCTGGAGACTGCGGAGATGCAGCTTCCAGACTACGGACTTCCACGGATGCTGTTCTGAAACCTGGCCTTCCTGAGAGGGCACCCGTGGCCGGGGGAGGCTGCTGGCTGCCTCTCGCCCCCCAGACTCCCTGGGTGCCAAACAAAGGCGCAGTTCAAAAGTCTGGTCTCAGCAAGCTGCCAGGAGCAACCCCCGGGTCCCCATCCTTGTCACCAAGAGCTGTGTGCAGAGAGGACTTACTTGGTACATTTAGTAACAACTTACCAACGTGTGTAACATGTGTGTTGTACTCCTATTGTAATAATACCTCAATCCAGAATATTTAAATATTTAGAGCCTGTGACCACAAGAAATTTCCAATAAATCAGTTTCCACATTGACTCTGGAATTTTTTGTTTTAGACAGCACGATAGGGCACTTTCTGTCTTAAAATACATTTGCATTCCGTTTTTGGCGGTGGGGTGGCAGTGGACCTTGCAGCACAGAGGGGACACACGTGAACTTTCCACCTTTACTGAGAACTTGGCTGTGGGCTTTGTAAGTGGACGTTGGCGGTCTTGCTTAGGTGCCAGCATTCCAGCGGATGTGCCGAAGGGCAACGTGGCAGCTGGATTTAAATGGGTCAATACTTAGAATTCAGCAGAAATGACTTCCTTTGTAATCAGTTAGTGTTTTGATGAAGACTTTAAGGTGTTGATTCAGAACTGTCTGAGGGCTTCATGGTGTTTCAGGGCTCTGGCTTGGGGGCTGTGACGCACAAGGACCCGGCGCTGGGGCCGCAGGGGGTCCTCTGGGCCTCCGGAAGGGAGGGACTGGGGCCGGCCAGGGCAGGCATAGGCTGCCCCCTCTGAAGCTGTGTGTGGCCCCCACGGGCCCCTGGGGCTGGGTGGGGAGTGCATGGGGTGAACAGGCGGGGGGCCTGGACACCAACTGGCAGGCTATCCTGAAGAAAGGCACCCCGTCCCCCGCCAGCTGAGTTCTCCTACCCTCCAGGCTCCAGGCCCAGCGTCCTGGGGCAGGAGGCGTGTGTTGTTAAGGGTCAGGGAACCAAAGGACTCGTGTTCGAGTGCCTGCAGAGTTCTGCCTCTCAGGGGTTCTGGCGTTGTCCACACTGTGGGAGACAGACATCAAGGACGTGGGGATGCAGCAGGGTGGGGTGGGGATCAGGAAGCCTCACTGTGCGCGGCGGGGCAAGCGCGGGGATGCAGCTGTCCTCCACACTGCCTGGCTCATAGTAGGTGCTCAGGTATTCAGCACCTTCCTCATCACCTGGCATAGCCGACAGGTGTGTGGGGCATCAGTGCTCGTCCCTGGTGGCTCAGGGAGGCTCGGGGGGCGCCCCAGTGAGAGAGGGAGGCTGCGCTGGTCCCTTAGCTCGGGCTGCTGCTTGTTCCAAGTTGTTGACCCTTTCTGGAAGCTTCCATAAGACAGTCCACTCAACTCTAGGCTGAGGAGCCAGAGATCAGGTCTGTCTGGAGCCTGGCCCCCTAGGGGTTCAGTGAGTCACCCTGAGTTTGCCCCTAGGCCTGTGTCAGAGGTGGGGTGTGGGGCGTCCTCCAGGGCCCGTTAGAGCCAGGAGGTGGTTACCACTCTGCTGACCATGCGCTCTCCCCAGCATGCGGCTGTGACCTGGCCGAGGGCGGCTTCTTCGTGCGGCAGGGTGAGTACATCTGCACGTTGGATTACCAGCGGCTGTACGGGACCCGCTGCTTCAGCTGCGACCAGTTCATTGAGGGTGAGGTGGTGTCAGCCCTGGGCAAGACCTACCACCCCAACTGCTTCGTGTGTGCCTCCTGCCGGTGAGTGAGGCCAGCCAGTCCCCTACTTCCACCCCTGGCACTGCCTGCCTCCTGCCCGGCCGCCCTCCCTCCCTCCATTGGGTCACAGCCGGGGAAGGGAGAGGGTGCCAGCCAAGAAATGGCAGGTGGGCACTGGGTGGCTGGGCACCAAGGGCTGCCATCCAGTCCCAGCCCCTGCAGGCCCTTTCCCTGCCCACAGCACAGAGCTGGGCCATCTTCCTGGGAGTCGTAGAGACCAGCAGGTTCTGAGGCTGCCAACGCATGGCTTCCTGTGGCTTCTGGGCAGGGTGTCTGTCCTGTTCCTCTGGGCCCTTGGCCAGCTCCTCTCTGTGCCCACATCCCCCTCAGGCTCCTTCCCTCACAGTGGTGCCCGCAGGGTCCGTGCTTCGGTCTCTGCCTGCCCACCCACTCAGCCATCCCGGCACATCCCATCTGCACACCTTGCCCCTTTCTCCCCTTGCCCTGGGCCTGTGGGTGACACCACCGCCCAACCCACCAGGTGCATGAGCCCCTTCTAGGGGTGCCTTCCAGGGTCCCTTCCTTTCCAGCATCTGCCCAGCCCCTGCCCACACTGAGGCCTCGGAACCTGCCGGCTTGGAGTCTCACCACGGCCTCTGGACCAGGGTTCCCACCTCCCTCTGCTGCCGCTCCTTCTGCGCCCAAGCTCCTCAGCCCGGGGGAGAGGACCTTCACAGTCCGGTCTGGTTCCTTTCTCCTTTCCTTCACTCACCCACTCGTTCATTCACTCACTCATCCAGGCTTTTCTAAAAGTGTACACGGGCCAGGCGTGGGGCAGGCACTGGTGACCTGGTGATCGTCCGCTCAGACCCCACAGGGCTCAGCTGCTAGGAGCACCGCAGTGCAACAAGAGTGCCTCCCCCTGGGCCTCATGGCCCCTGCTGCACCCTGTCCCATTGCTCCCGGGCCCGCGCAGTACTGTGCCAGCATGGCCCTGGAGCTGCCTGATGTGGGCTCCGGGCAGGCACAGGCTGGGGCTGAGCCCTCTGTCCCAGTGCCAGGCATAGAGCAGGGGCGCAGCACACAATCCCTGGAGACAGACTGAGATCCTGCCCCTGGCAGCCATACGCAGCTCCCTTCTCTGCCCTGCATCTCTGGGCACTGGGCACAGAGGCCAGAGGCAGCTTTCCCATGTGGGTACCCTCTCTCTCGCCCTCCCATGGCTCCTAGGGGGTTGTTCCATTTCTAAAAACAAAGAATATAAAAAAAACCCAGAGTTTATTTTCTACTCTGTTCTCTGTGTCTCACCACACCCAGTTTAAAGGGGACTTTTTGGGTGTTGTTTCCAAAGCATTGTCTGTAGTTACAGCACATGCACCAGTCAGAAAGCAAAGCCGCTGTCCGGGGACTGCTGAGAGAGAAGGACAGTGACAGGGGACATTGCTGATGACAGAGTCACTGGGTCATTACAGTGTGTGGGGGTCAGATTTCCCCCAAGGGCTACCTGAATGTTTGATTTCTGTGCATGTAGCTTAGAGACAAGGGCTGACACATCACAGTTGGTTTGAAAGATCATCTCTAGGTAATCTGCTATTTTAAAAATAATAGCAGAGACCTCTGTCATGCTGCAGCAACTGGGACTGGCCTTACCACCCACTATAAACAACTAAAAAGCTGGACAAAATGTATGGAACAGCTGTTTTCCGGCCTTGGAGAACAGGCAGCTCAGGACTAGACAGAGGAGAGGAGTGCGGAGGGCCTTGCAGCCCAGCTCTCGGCCTGGAGGCAGCTCCCCGGCGCAGTACAGGCAGAGGGGACCCAGGAGAGCGGTGCTTTCGCGGCGCCAGGAGACAGTGACCTGGGAGGCAGGGGCAGCCTGTCAGAGGGGACGGGGCTTCGCAGAGCGACATCAGAGAGCCGGGTAGAGGAGCCGTCGAGCCTTTGACGGAGTAGGAAGCCGCGACATTTCACGAGGTGGGACAGGGAGTGACCAGGCTGCTGCAGGCTAAACAGCTCCCAGGGCTGGGAGACACCCAGGTTCTGGCCGGGTGGGGACCCCCCGCTGAACACCCGGGCGTGCAGTGCGGACACCAGAAGGGCCGTGCCTCCTCAGTGGGGCGGAACAGACCCAGAGCAGAGGCTGCTGCCAGCCTGCCTTAAGCAAGTACACGAGCAAGCCTCCACATGGCCTTGCTGACCTGCCTGGGCCCAGAACAGCCCGACTCTTGTAGGAAGATAAAAAAAAGACAGCATTCAACAGCATAAATGACGATGTCCAACGTCCTACCAAATGTTACAAATCAAAAGAAGCTGGAAAGTGTGACTCAAAGCCAGGGAAGATCGGTCAGTAGCGATAGTTCCAGAAATGAGAGCAGCGGTGAGATTAGCAGATCACGACTTTAAGACAGTAAGGGAAACAAACGCGTTTAAGTGTTTAAAGGAAAATGTGAACATTAGTAGGAGTGTCATGGGCGCTGTGGAAAGAAACCGAATGGAATTTCTAGACCTGAAAATTCCTGTACAGGAGTCAGCAGTAGATTGGGTATTTGTAGAGGAAAAGACTAGTGAACAGGAAGACAGAACAGCAGGAACTCTTCGAACTAAAGCGAAGAGAGGAAAAGTACTGAAGAACATGAAAACAGGCCCAGTGATCCGGGCATGTAGGTCAATCTGTCTGTCTTGCTTGGGATGGGAGGACAGGGAATAGGAGAAGACCGAAAAAAACTGAAGAAATGATGCTTGAAAAATCCCCAAATTTGATGTAAACCGTGGATCCAAGAATCTCAATGAACCACAAGCAGAATAAACACAACAGAAACCTTCCAAGTCCATCATAACCAAACTTCTGAAAAGTCAGAATAAGAAATCGAAAGAAGAAAAACAGCAATAGAAAAAACATTCCCGACAACGAAACAGAAGAATATCGCAGTGTTCTCATCCATCACTGCGCCGTCGATAAACACGTGAACCAGCGCTTAACATCGTTAAGTCATCAGGGGAATGCGAATGAAAGTACATGGAAGTACCGTTCGACGGCCACACTAGAACGGCTGAAACCAGAGGTGGGTGACGTCAGGTGCTGGTGAGGATTCGAAGCAGAGGGAACTCTCATACACTGCTTGCGGGAATGCCAAGCAGGGCAGCCTCTACGGAAAGCGGTTTGGTGGCTTTTTATAGTTAAACACAGAGTTAACTTACGACCCAGTAATTCCACTCTTGGTATTTACCCAAGAGAAGTGAAGGCACACATCTACAGAAAGACTTGTCCACAGATATTCTTAGAAGCTTTGTTTGTAACAACCCCAAACTGCAAAGAATGCAAATAGCCTTCACCAGTGAGCGGAACACCAGTTGTGCCCCCTCGTGTGATGGAACCCCACTCAGCCCCAGGAGTGTACTTGGGTGTGTGCACCGAAGTGAGTGGAGCTCAGAAACATGATGCCGAGCGAGACGCTGAAGATGACGTCCTGTGTGGTTCCAGTCGTGCGCAGCTCCAGAAAGGGCGACACGAATCCGTGGTGACAGAATGCCCATCTGGTTGCTCGGGGCCGGGGTGGAGGTGGTGGGGTGATTGTAGACAGCTGCGGGGAACCTTCTGCAGCAGACAAAATGTCTCATGTCATTACTGTGGTGATGGTTACATGAGTGTGTACATTTATCAAAACACACTTCAATAAAGTTGAATGAACAAAATAATAGCTTCCATTTATTCAACCCCTCCTGTTCCCAAGAAGTATGCTAGAGCTTTCCACACAGTAAGCCCCATGGATGGGTGGGTGGAAGGATGAGGAGCAATCCTGGGCCACGGGTGTTTTTAGTCCCATTTTACAGGTGCGAACCAGGAACTCAGAGAAGTTAAGTAACTTGCTCTGGGTCACACAGTCAGCGGTCCTCGGTGTGCACCCAGGGGTGGTGTGGGACTCCCACTGTGTCCCAAGACTTCCATTACCAGACCAGTTTCAGGACACTAAGAGGGAGGCAGGCAGGGCCCAGCACTAACACAGTTAACACAGAGATGGCATCAGATGGCTGCGAAGCTGGGGAGGTGGCCCTGCTCGGCCTTGTCATTCATCTGGTCACTCCAGCCCTCCCTTCTTCATTAACAATGACCTGTTCATTAACAATGGTCCCAGGCATAGTTTTCAGCCCTGAAGAAGGCGGAAGGGAGATAGCAATGGTCTAACCAGGGGAAGGGAATGTCCTGGTCCAGACAATTCTGCAGGCTACTGCCTTGGGGGGCAGGTTCTCCAGCCAGGCTCAGCTGGGGCAGGAAAGGTGGCCCCAGGGCTGCTGGGAGCTCAGTGGCAGCAGGTGGCAGGGGCGGACATGGGCAGGACACTCAGGTCATGTTTCCAGCCCTGGTTCACAGGTGGCCTGGCCCAAGCTCACCAGGTAGCAGCCGCCTTCCCTCTCTCTCGGTCACCCAAGGAGAAGTCCTTGGGGCTGCCGGACGTGGGCTGGGCCTTTGCTGCCCCCACCCAGCCTCCATCCGCCCCCTGTCCCCCAAACCGCCCAATAACCTTACCTTGCATCAGGGCTGAGACAAGGGTGTGGCTAGTGAGGCACTCGCTTTAGATACAGAATTGAAGGGGGTGCCAAAAACTCAGTGAAGGTAAATGACAGTTTAATATGATATTTTCAAAAATTGAAATCCATGCAAAAAGAATCCGTGATGACCAACATGCCAAACTCTTAAGTAAAGGCAAGATCCAGCGTGCAGGACCCGGATGTCTGCACGGCATGCGTTTAGGGGCACTGCCTTCTCCACAGCCCGAGTGGGTGAGCCATGGAGCTTTGGAGCCAGACAGGTCTTGCTTTGACTCTGGTTCTGATATGCATCAGCTGTGTGTCCTTGGACAGGTTAACTATTCTCTCTGAACTTCAGTTTTTGCACCTTTAGGGAAAATATGAAGCAAACACCAATTTGGACAGACGTCCTGTGTGCATTTTAGGGATCAGTCATAGTGCCTGTCACCTGGCACATAGCAGGTGTTCTAGAAGTGGTAGCTGCTGCCATTACTATAGAACCGATGCAGACAAAGCTTCCTGGGTGGTCAGCGGAGGCCATGGTTTGGACCAGCTGAGTGACTGCCCTATGCCAGGCTCTGGGCCGGCCTCACTGTGCTGCACCCCACACTGCGATTCTGCCTGTTTGTACGGTGAGGAAACTGAGGCTAAGTTGTCAGTGACCTGCCTGAGGTTGCACAGCAGGGATGCACCAGTGCCCGGATGGAGAGATGGCACTTGTCTCCATGAGTCCTGGGGGAGGCGGTGGCAGGCCACCTTGGGGGGCTCCCCGCCAAGAGAACAGCGGACGGTGGTCTGGCTGCTAATGCACTCTCTTGTTTCAGGGTGCCGTTTCCGCCTGGGGACCGAGTGACCTTCAACGGGAAGGAATGCATGTGCCAGAAGTGCTCCCTGCCCAAGTCCGTGGGTGGCAGCGCATGCCTGACCCAGGGCCTCTGGAGTAAGTGGGTGTCAGCGGCAGAGGGGCAGGGGCTGAGCTGGGTGGTGGGCCTGCAGAGCCTGGGAGGGGGCTGGGCAAGGGGCAGGGACCCAAAGCAGAGGAGACAGAAATGAGTCTTATGACAAGGAAAGGGAGGGAAGAGGGACAGACATCTCCCGGCACTCCTGCCCCTGGGCCTTTGCACAGGCCAAGCAGCCACCCCATTGTCACTCCTGCTTTCACACCCCACTTCCTCTCCCGCTCTCAGCCCACTCTAGCCTGCCTCCTCTAGGAAGCCGGGCCTCCTCCTGGTCCCCTCCCTGCAGCACACACTCAGCTCCCTGTAGCTCCTTGCAGACGGTCCCGAGCCCTGTGGGAGAGCCATTAGCAAGCCTTGAACTCAGGGTGCTGTGGCCAGGGCTCTCGGGCTAACTGCTGCACCGCCCAGGAGCTAGGCCAGGGTGTGTCTGCAGTGGGTGCTCAGCACATGCTTTTAGATGAAGCAGCAGGAGGTGGCTCCTGCAGAACACCTGCCAGTTGGAGGGTCACCACCTGGACTGGAGGGCAGGCTCGGGGCTCTTCGAGGCCAGAGAGGCACCGCAGACACTGGGCAGGGGCCCAGCACTCTGGGACCTGCCGCTGCAGAAGCGAGGTTTTCAGAGCCCATCCCGTGTGCCACGGTCACTGGTTCCCTGGTGCCAGGGCCGCACGTCACAGAACCAAGGAGCAGTCTGTGCTGGTTTCCAGAGCCGGCCCCTTGCCCCTAGTTGATTTCCTCTCCCCTACTGAACACCCTCCTCCTACCCTCCTTGTCAGCTAGGACGCCCCTACAGAGGGGATCGCACCTCCAGCCTCCCAGGGTCAGCTTTGGCTTCAGGGGCAGGTAATACTTTTACTCTCTGAAATGAGGTGGAGCCTTTATCCCTGGGGGAGCCAAGCTCGAAGCAGCACTAGCTGGTGACGCTGTCCCTTTGGGGGCCGGCTGAGAGTCCGTCATTCAAAACTTCCTCTCCCTCTGAGGTCTGGATTCATTGAATTTTTGAGAATTTGCTCCACAAATAGTACTGTTACAGTTAAATCTAGACTAGTAGTCAAAAGTTATACAGCAGAATAAAAAAAGGGAGAGGTTTGTTTGAACAGCTTGTCCAGAGCTTCCTGGCAGCCAGACTGAAAGGGGAAATATGCCCAACCACAGACATTGTATGATATTTTTTTGAGATTTTTTTAAAGTGTCATGGGAGAAAAGGGTTTGCCTTTTCCAAATATAAATTATTTTAAAATACAAAATTTGCATTTTTAAAGAAAAAATGCTCCCTTGACCTCCAGATGGCCTAGTAATGTAACCTGCTCCTTCTTACAGCACGCAGTGACAATCTCCAGCTTAGGACCTTTTTTGTGCTTAGGAAGTGTTAAACTTTGATCCCCAGCTCATGGCCCCCATGCAGATGTGTGCAGGGCCTTCCCAGCTCCTGCCTCCTCTTGTCCCCAGGGCAGCCCTGCCCAGCAGGACCCCCTCCTTACGTAGGTGCAGAGGCTCCCTGAGTCCGGTGGGAGTTGGATATGTGCTGGGCCCAGTGTCCAGCTAGGAAGAGGTGAGGCTGAGGTCTGGGCCAACTCCAAAGCAGAGGAGCTCGCCCTGCTGTGACCACAGGCCTTCAGAGGAGGTGGCCTGTGTTCTGGAACTTGAGACACAGGTCCCAGTAGGTGGGCATTTACAGACCTGAACGGGGAGCAAAGCCTGGACGCATGTGCGACATGCTGGGGGCAGTCTCCAGCCCCATGTGTGTGGCCGGGGGTGCTGCTGAGGGGACGGGACAGCAATGAAGCCAGATCTCAAAGCCACGCGGAAGGGTTCCCACTGCATCCCGGAGGCAGCGAGGAGCCACAGAAGGCTGCTGAGTGAGGCAGTGCGGCGGCCAGCAGGGGATGCTGGGAGATGAGCCTGAGCAGCAGGTCTGCATGGCTGTGGGCAGGCAGGGGATGCCTCTGCGGTAGAGTGTCTAGGGTGGAAGGGGCGCACTGCCCTTGCCTAGGGCGCAGTGAGTGGCTGGCTATTTAGGTGGGAGACATGCCCGGGTCCAGGCCTGGCCTTCCCTCTCCTCTCTGGCCCTGAGCCTGCTGCTTAGTAACAGGAGACACTCCTCTCTCTGGGCATCGCGTCGCACTACCCCTGCTGGGGCCCAGCCCTGCCAGGGCGAGGATGGGGTCACAGCTGGAAACTGGGGCCACATGGGAGCCAGGAGCTGAGGCCCCTCGGGGTCAGGAGGGGAGGCCCCCATCCCCTGGTGTGTGCCAGAGCTGAGGCCGGGGCTGAGGCCCTGGAGCTTCTGTGCCTCCCACGGCCACCTGGGGAGCGAGGCAGCCAGACTGCCCGGTCAAAAGAGGCAATGGGGCTCTGCAGGGCAGCAGCCATACCAGCCATCCTGGTGCGTACAGTGGCCACCTTGTGAGGTCCAGCTTGTGGGGTGCAGTGACTGTGGCTCAGCCCCTGGAGCCCACCCTCTCGGGGCGCCTCCCCACTCCCACGCTGCAGTCAGGGCTCAGAGCAGCGGCCCCTTCTCTCTCCCAGCGGCTGCCCTTCTTGCTCCGCTCAGGCTCTTAGAGAAATCACAGGCCAAGCCCAGAACAGGCCAGGCACTTCCAAGTTTCAGAACTCAGTCAGCTCCTCACTTTCAAAGGTCAATCTCAGATTTGACTCAGAGGCCTCCTCCGCTCCCGACCCAGTTAGACCTGGTCTGGCCCTGCAGCCCCACCCCGAGTTCACAGCTGGGTTCAGAGAGGCTGCCCAGTACATCCTGGGTCCCGCAGCGCTGAGAGGCAGAGACAGAGACCCGATAACCTTGTCTATTGGAGGAGGTAGTACATGGGGGAAACCAGGAAACTATGTGGAAGTTTCTAGAAGGGCCATGCCAGGGAAGAGGCGTAAGCCTGTCCCCTTGCTGTGGCGGCAGATCAGGCCCAGGGTGTACGGGTGAGCAGATGCCAGCTTTGACTCTTGGCGATGGGGGCATACTTCCTTGGGACATCCCCCTTGTTGACAACTGTAGTCAGCAGGGTTTGTGACACAAGATTCTGTGCTGTTGTTTGCCAAGTGTGCATAGCTATGCTGAGCCCCAGATATGTCCAGACACTGCTGTTCCCATGACAGCCTGCATGGCGCTGTGCTCTGGCCTCGTCAGGGGTCACTATCAGTGGGACTCTGCCCTGAGGGAGGCGCCGGGCTGGTGTCGGTCCCCCTGCCCTGCAGCAGCCTCTGGGGCATGTTCAGGGGCCTCTGGCTCCTGTCCTGGGGGGCACACTGCCCTTGGGGCAGGAGTCCTGCAGAGAGCAGGGGCCTTCCCCCATTGCGTGCCCCTGGGCCTCCTGCCAGCCTCCCCTGTGGCAGCTGTAGTGATAGAGCGTTCAGCCCCACATGCATGTCATCATTCATCAAACGTGTCCTCCGTGCTCTGGGCCCGTGGATGTTTGCTCTCCTTATGCTTGTAACAACCGCGTGAAGTTGGTGCTGTTATCATCCCATGAAGTGTGTCCCCATTCTTTGGGCACAAAGAGGTCCAGTGACTTTCCTGAAGTCACACAGACGGCAGGGGCAGCCTGGCTCCAAGGGCCGTGTCCCTAACACTCGCCTACCCTGCCTCCCCTCCAACCGCAGCGCCACGCTGTGCGCTCTGTGCTCCCTTCCTTAGCCCGTTCACAGAGATGCAGACCACGGCCTAGAGCAGGGTTGCTCAGCCTCGGCATGATTGACACTCAGCCCCCATGACTCTGTGTGGGCTGCCTGGAGGCGTGACAGTCAAAAGGGTCCCCATGCATTGCCCGGGCACCCCTGGGGCTTGCCCTGTGCTGAGAGGCTGTCTTGCCAATGGGTTCAGCCCCAGACAAGTTAACTGTGGATTCAATGTGACCAAAGAAATGACAGTAGAATGTTCTTGGGGTGAAAGGGTTTATACCCAACTTTATTCCCACAGTGGCAGGTCAGTCACTAGAATCCTGTTCACTCAGAGCGAGTCTGCAGGCAGCAAGCCGGTCTCTGCCTCTGGGCCTCTCTGCCCGCACAGCCATCCCCTGGGCCTCTGTCCTCTGTGCTGCCACCACTCCAGCCTCTGCTCTGCTCTCCTGCAGCCTTGCAGCCATGCCATCGTGTCGCCCAGAGCACTGGGCAGAGCTCTTTATATAGAGTCAGAAACAATGCATTGCCCACATGTGTGCAGTGAGCCAGCCGACCAGGGCCAGGTGGGCATCCCGGCCACGGGAACCTCCCCTTTCTGCACGGAGGCACTCACGGCGAGCTGCCTGCCCGCTCGGGTCTGGGTGCAGGAGCGTGTCTCTGCCCTGCGGGGACCGGAGGTGGGCTGGGGAGGGCTCGGCTGCCTCCTGAACTTGAACGGGAGGGCCTTCTCTTGGCCCCTGTTCCTTCCTTCCTTCTCTCCTTCATTCATTCCTTCACGCACACATGTATTCATTCGCTAAGGCTTCAGCCCGTGCTTGGCCCAGGGTCCTGAGATGAGCGGAAGCTGCTCACAGCCCAGGGTCTTGAGTCTGGTTTTCCGGTGTTTTCTGAAGGAACATGTGGATTTGAGGTGTGATGATTTAGGAAGCCAGTTTGACCCACAGTTTTGTGGGTTTTAAATATTTTTTATTTTTAAGATAATATGATGCTGGTCTCTGCCAAGGAGAGGGGCAAAACCGTGTGTCACAGCGTCTGAGCCTCCTCCGCAGCCAGGCGGCTCCTGTCCCTTTGCCCTGGCTGTGCGGGCGCCTGGCTGTGCGGGGCGCCTGGCTGTGCGGGGCGCCTGGCTGTGCGGGCGCCTGGCTGTGCGGGCGTGGCCCAGTCCTCTGTGTGCATCTGTCGCGTATGTGGTCACCACTGTCCTCTGGAGAGAAAACCAGCTCGATGGGGAAAGCGTTGCCCAGCATGGCCTGCGCGTGGGGCCGGGATCTGCAGCCAAGCCTGCCAGGCCCTGGGCCCCACTCCTTCATGTTGGAACCTGGGGTCCCTGTCCAGCCCATGAGCCCTTCGGCTGGGCCTGTGGGTTGTACAAGGCCCCTGTGGGCATGGGGCCGTTCGCCAGATGCCCCCTTCGTCTGTGCCCTTCAGGACCTTGCAAGGGGCTCCCAAGGCCCTGTCCTTGTCCAGCCCCAACACACACAGACACACACATGGACCCAGATATATACAGACACAACATGGGCACACACAGGGACACACACTCACGTGCATGCCCACAGACATGCTCATGCACACACAGACACACATATACACACATTTGAACATACAAATACCCCAGGTGGGCTGTGCTACCACTCTGTGCCCCAAAGGCTCCCTGGCCTGCTCCACCCTCACCCTTCACACATGTGACCTGGACTGTGGGATCCCCCAGTGTGGCCACCCACAGCCGGAGGGACCTGGTGGCAGGTGCTGAGGCGAGGACCTGGGTCTCCAGAAGCACTGAGCAGGGATGGGTGTGGCTGGGAGGAACAGAGGGGGCGTGCGGAGGCAGGTCACAGGGTCAGAGCAGGAACCACAGGATGGGGAGCACCAGCCACCCGGGGGAGGAGTCCAGGGGCCGACGTGGGGGGCCGGCCAGGGCCTGGGCTGAGACCTGGAGCAGGAACACAGGCAGGGGAACTGAGTGTCCTGTGTCCCGGACGCTGCCCGACGGCCACGGGAGGGCCATGGGGTGGTGAGAGTGGAATGGAAGCTCAGACCCCCCTGAGGTGGCACATTTCTGTGTCTTCCAGGTTGTGCGGGCTGCGGCACAGAAATCAAACATGGCCAGTCCCTGCTGGCTTTGGACAAACACTGGCATTTGGGCTGTTTTAAGTGTAAGGCGTGCGGGAAGCAGCTGACTGCGGAGTACATCAGCAGGTGAGTGGGGGCCGCAGCCAACTGTCTCTGTGCAGCCCCTCTGCCTGCCTCATGGGCCTTCTGCTGGCCACTCCTGTCCTGCCGCCAGGCGAGGAAACCTGGCCCAGAGCCGGCTGTGCTCGTGCCGTGGCCTGGTGCCTCCCCTGCGAGGCTTGCTTCCCCGCTTACAGAGCCCGCATGCAGCTCTGAGTCTGAAGACCGATGGAGCCATGTCACCACCTCCATCTCTGACTTTGTCAGATGCCTCCTGCCCCCACCCCTGGGTGCCACTCTCCCTCTGAATTTGTCCCCATTGCTGGCACCTGGATATCCTGCAGAATGCAAAGTGGACAACAGCTGATGTCAGGAGCGGGGAAGGGGGGCTGACCAACCTCCGTGGTCACAGGGGTGGCAGCGTAGCTCCACATTTCCACTTCTGCGGTGCAGCGCCCTCAGGCTGCACCCACTGGCTGACAACGTCCCATGCAGTGCCAGGCCCCCGGGCTGTCCCACTAGCTGACAGCGTCCCATGCAGTGCTGGGCCCCCGGGCTGTCCCACTGGCTGACAGCGTCCCCAGACGTGTGGTCAGGACCCAGTGATGGCTGCTTTGCGTCGGGGTGTTAGAGCACATGCTCCCAGGAGGCAGTGTGAGGGAGGCTTGGGAGATCGCAGCCTGAGCAGCAGAAGCTGGTTTGTTGGGAGGCGGCGGGGTCAGGGGGTGTATTTAATCCCAGAGATGAGGGCATTGAGACTGGTCAGCTCCCAACAGCGTGGGCCAGGGAAGAGTTGAGGGCTGCATGAAGATGAACGGCTCTCTGAGCACAGGGCGGGCTCCTTCCTGCCTGTCAGGGCTTTTTGACAACGTCCATCAAAGATTGTCTAGGTCTTCATGCCACAGAGGGGACAGAACCACTGCAGGAACTGAGTGGGCTAGAAAATTCCATGCAATAAAACAGTGTGGAGTGAAAAAGAGGAACACATACACACGCACATGCGCACGCGTGCACACAGGCACACAGAGTGCGTGTCACCGTGGAGGAGTCCAAAGCAGGTGGCTGGACAGCCCCGTCTCAGTGTCCTGGTTGATCTGGACTCCACTTGTGCTCAACATCACTGTTGGGGGTACCTGGGTGGGTGTTTCTGTGTTGTTTCTTATGTGACTGTACAATTATTTCAAAATAAAACATTTTCAGTACAAGTCCCCAAAGCAAGATGAGCCTCCGTCCCGGCTGGATCAGGCTGGGTGAGTTTCTGGCCACCGCTCCCCACCCGGGCCAGGGCCTGTTGCCCATCATGTAAGGAAAGGGATGTCCTCACACAAAGGCAGTGGGGGGACAGAGCCCTTTAAATACACAGCATGCCAGGGCCCAGAGCGCTGCCACTCACCCACACTGTGGAGGTGGCTGAGCAGCTTCCCGAGCCACCCAGAGCTGAGAGCGGGGTGCGCAGGGGTTGCCATAGACACGTTAGCTTTGAAACTCCTGGGTTTGCTGCGCACACACCCGTACGTGGGGAAGAGTGGGGGCATTTGGGAGTGGATCCTGAGGGCCCAATTTATACCTTCCTCTCCTAAGGAAGGGCTCCTTCTCTCTGATCCGCCACGTGGCCCCAGGGCCTGGTCACCCCACACACCTTCCCCTCCTGGAGGCATCCCTGCCTCCTGCAGAAAAGAGGGTGCCCTTAGCTCCGGCCTCCCATCAGCTGGAGAAATCTTACCCTCTGTTGGGTGCTGTGTGAAAATAAAAACCAGATTGGGACTAGCCCAACAACCTCAGCAGTGCTGGGAGGGGCCATGCCCTGGAGTAGCCGGTGCCCCCATGAGTGCCACACACCCGACTTCTGCTGGGCCAGGCCTGGGGCAGGGGGACAGCCGTGGCTAGCAATGACAGTAGCCTCAGCCTCGGATTGGCAAGTGCCTTTGTGTGCCAGAAGCTGGCCACACGTTCTCTTGTTTAGACCTTACTGTTATTTCTCCCATTTTACTGACAGGGAGACTGAGGCTCAGAGAGGTTGGGTGACTGCCCAGGCTCACAGAGTGGGGGCGTGGCAAGTCTGCTCACCACCACCCTGCTGCCCTCCAGCACCACACGGAGCATGGCCACCCAGAAACCCTGCACCCCCTCTGGGCTGTCCATCCCCTCCTCACTGCCTTCTGTCCTGTTGTGTTGACCTCATGGCGATGCCTACAGTCACTTTTAAATTAGCTCCCAGCCCCTGCCAGGCGCCGCGTCAGACCTCACAGCTGCACTGCATGCCGTCAGCAGCCCCGACACTAGCTCTCCCTCCCGGTTCCCTCCTGGAGCTTCGTGTTTCGGCACTTCACCCAAGGCTGCCAAGTATTCAGGAGCAACACCGGGTGATGTTTCGCTCGTCACTAGTGCCCCAGCACCAGGAACAGCACCTGGCGTGTTGGGGCCACACCGTAAATGCTCGTGGGGAGAACGGACGCATCGTCCGGTGGCCTTCCTGGTCCTTCGTGCGCAGGACGCCTCTGTCGCCACACCTGGGAACAATGCGGGGCACCCTGCCCCACCACACCTGCCACCTGGGATGTGTGCACCCCTCGCCAGCGCACCCCTCAGGCCCGCCGTCTGCCGTGGGCACCTTAGTCATACCGTCTTTCAGGCCCGCATCGGCCCCGGGCTGGAAGGAGCAGAAAGCTCCCTGATGAATGAATGGGCTATTTCCCACCCAGTTCTTGAATGTGGGACAGAATGAGCCAGAAGAGCCATGTCTTGGAAACATCTTGTATTTCCCAGGCGTGGCTTTACTGGCCTGGCGCAGCCTCTGGAAGCGGCCGCCAGCCCCTCCCTCCCCCGCCGGCCCCCCTCCATGCCTCAGCTTCTCCCCCTGTGAAATGGTACGAGCGTCACGATGTTTCTCCCGGGGCTCGTGGCCGGGGACGCCGTGCCGGAGCCTGGAAGTGCTGTGAGCTGTCAGGCTGGCATCAGTATTTGGAGTAGGAGGGGGCAGGCCTTTCCCCTTTGTCCTGGTCTCGCTCATGTCAGGGGCTGTTGGATCTGGGGGTCCTCACAGTGAGCCCCCGCCATACTGACTGCCTGTCTCTTTGCAGGAACGGGCTGCCCTACTGTGAGACCGACTACCACACCCAGTTTGGCATCCGCTGTGACGCCTGTGAGAAGTACATCACAGGGCACGTGCTGGAGGTAAGGCGGCCCGTGGGCAGTAGGCACCAGCCCGGGCAGGCCTGGGGTCATGTGCGGGGCACTGTGCCCTGTGAGCCAAGTCCTGTTCCACCTCCTGAGGCTGACCTGCCCGCAGGGAGCTACTGTGGGGACCCAGAGGGGTCCTGGGGGTCCCCCATTTGTGTGTGTGCACAAACCCACACCCCGAACCTTTGCCTCCCCGTCCTCCCATCTCTGCCAGGGGATGCCTGCCTCAGCCTCCCTCACCTGTTCAGTGAGTGCCACCTCCTCCAGGAAACCCTCCCCATAACCTTCTCTCTCAGGAAGGACTCGAGACCCTCAGCCCAGCCCTTTGGTGTCCAGCTGGAGAATCTGGGTCCTGAGTGGGGCAGGCAGGACCGTGTCCCCCACAGGAGCCTGAGTGGCCGCCCGGCAGGCCGAGCAGCAGGGGTGAGGGGGGTGAGGGGCGGGCAGTGTGTTTCTGATCTGCGTGGCAGTTCGTGGTGTGTTCCTTTGTGAAAACAGCGTGTGTTATGCACCGTTCTACATTCGGTCGGTAAGATAAATCCCAGGGGACACCCAGGACCAAGCCCCACCCACCTGGCCTTCGCTGGGCGTGCGCATAGCCTGTGGGGGAGGGTGCAGGTGACCAGAGGACTTCAAGGACAGAGCAGGGGCCCAGCCAAGGGTGGGAGCAGCCGCTGGGGTGGGTGGATAGGTGGGCGGGTGAGGCTGTAGCCCGCACCCCACCCTCCGTCCTTGACAAAGGCTTTGAGCCAGGGAATACCATCAGATTTGCATTTCAAAGATCCTCCTCCCTAGAGCAGCTGCCCAGCCCAGGAGGCCAGAGGCTGGGAGGCCAGCCTGGAGCAGGTGGGACTAGACAAGCCTACCCCTGCATTTCCCAGGACTCTGGCCCTGCCGCGCCCACAGCAGCACCCAGCACGTAATGGGGCTCAGAATCCAACTTTCAAATTGCACATTGGATGCCGAGGGGCTTTCTTGGAAGTTACATTGACTCCCAGGCAGCAGGGACAGCGGTGTACGGGGCCCAGCTCACACCCATTGCAGGAGGCAGTCCTGCCAGGCTGCCCTCCTGGCCACCTGGGGCCCATCCCAGGCTCCGCGTGGGGTCCCGCCCTCCTCTGCTGAGAGGTTGGGCACACATGTGGCCACAGCTCATGGCTCAGCAAACAGCAGTGGGGACACTACTGATGCCGCCATAGTTAGCCAAGCCTTTTGGAGGTTTCCTCCCAGGGTCTCTGTCCATGTCATCGCCGTTGATAGCAAACTGTTTCTACAGCTTTACATCCTGATTTTCTCACATGGTGTTTCCCATTTAACAGAGTCCCATGTTTTTGTTTTTTGTGTTATGGGTCTTTTCAAAAGCAGCTTTATTGGAATACAGTTCACACTCACCCTTTACAAGTGTGCTATGCGGCGCCCTTCTGTCTTCACTCCCCTGTGCAAGGGCCCACGTGCACCTTAGGGGGTGCCTTGACCTGGAGAAGAACCTGATGCCCAGCCTTCACTCCCCTGCACCCCAGCCTTGGTGGCCCCCTGTCTGTGTGCTGTCTTCCCTGTTCTGGACATTTCGTATGACCAGAATCGCACAGGTGTGGCCTCGGACAGGCTCCTTTCTCACGGCACAAGTGTTCAGGCCGTCCTCGTGAGCACGCTTCACTGTGTGTGGTGTCTCACCGGACCGTTCCAGAATCTGTGAAGCCGATCCGTTACTGTTGGACAGATTACTGCAATAAATAACACTGAGATGAACATCTTTTTTTAAAATTACATTTCTAATTTTCCTTGAGAACCATTTCTTCACAGAAATGTAGAAGCTGAGGCAACAATTACCAACTTTTTGAGTGTTCTTTAAACTTAGAAATTGCTTTCCAGAAAGGCTATTCTCATCGGTGGGTTCTGATGTGTCGCGTCTCTCACAGTGGGTGTGAACTTTATGAAATCCTGTGCCACCCTCCTAAGTGAGAACACGGCCTCTCACTTCGATTTGCCTTCCTTCCATCCCTGGTGATGGTGGGTCTTATTTTTGGTCATCTTTAGCCAGAGTTCTTATATTTCAGTTATCCTTCCTAAACCTACCAGCCTGTCGTGTTTCCTGACTGATTGGTGGGTGGGCCACACAGTGACACTGTGGGCATTTTGTCTGCTGAGCGACTTGTATTTTCTTGGGTAATGATCATATTAATATTTATACCCACATGCTTTGAATGTGGTCAGAGATGCATCCTCGCCCAGTACCCGCAGTGGGGTAAATATCAGGGGTGGTTCTTCCGGAGGAGACACGGGTCAGGCCACACTGCTCTGTCACGCGAACTGTGTTTCTCTCTGTTCCCCCAAAAGGCTATCCCAGACCTCCCCCCCACTCCAAGGCTGCGGCCCTCGCCCCCCACTGGTGACCTTATCTTCCACCTGACAGGGGGAACGGGACAGATATGACTCGGGGCTGTCCTCGGGCTGTCCATGTGCCCTTCCCCTCTCTGTCCTTGCTGACACGGGCGGGCGCAGCCCGGCTTCCCCACAGCCCCGCCCCCGTGCTGGGCCCTGCCCCTGCCCCCCAGGCCCCACCTGTGCTGGGTCAGATCCCTCCCGCCTTCTCCAGAGCCTCAGACCCCCCCCTCCCTTCCTCCCCCCGCCGCATACACATGCCCCTCTCAGAGGGCATCCTCCCCGTGACCTTTTAAACAGCCCAAGTCTCCCTCTGTGCGGCCCACCCCCTCACGCCCAAGCCCCTCCCTCTGCTGCCCACCCTGCCCTCTTCCCTCCCAGCCTCAGGGCCCCACGCACCGTGCTCCCGGGCTGTCTGCTGGGGCTGCAGGGCCTGCTCCTCCCGGCCGGCACCTGGCCTCTCCCCTCTCCAGGTACCTGCCGACTCGCGCCTGTGTCTCTGAACCGTGCTTCTCCTCGGCAATGTCGGTGGCTCTAAAACTCGGCCAGGCGAGCACCAAGTTCAGGAACGACCAACGCCTCCCCTCACCTGTACACACACTCGTGGTCCCCTCACACCTCCCGAGCCCTCAGAGAGCGGCACGACCTGGTGCCCCACGCCCGGCACCTGTGCCCCCAGGGGAGCGTGTGCTGGGCAGGGCTCAGCCTGCCACAGTGCCCTGATGAGGGCGTGCGCCTCAGGCCGGGCAGAGCACCGTACTGGCACATCACCGTACTGGCACATCTTGGCTCAGGCAGGTGGAGCTGCTGCTGCTCCAGGTGCGAGTCCAGCCTGGCCTGCGTCCGGGCACCGGCCGTGCTCCCTGCATCCCGGAGGCAGGGGACACACCGCGCCCCAGCCCGCTGCCTGCCCTGCCCCTCCTGGCCCTGAGCAAGCCCTGCGCTTGATAACAGGACGCTCTGGTAACCTTGGGGCCTCACCGAGACCCGGCAGTGTCCCCAGCTCAGTGCTGGCCCTGTGGTGACCGGTGGGGGTCAGGGGTGTCCTCATTATTGTCATTCGTCCATCACCAGGCCTCCCCTTGAGGGGTCAGCCGGGCAAGGGTGACCCCGTCTGCAGTGTACACGTCTGGTATGTAAGGCCAGGACAAATGCAGGATTCGGGACTTTGGTGCCTAGGAGTGGGGCCCCTCTTGGTGCTCGCTGGCTGCCGTCAGAAAGGGGCCGTCTTACATGCAAGGAGCAGGAGAAAACCAGGCCTGGGGTTTTCTTCCTTATCTGAGGTGGAGAATAAAGGGCCTCCCAGGAAAGATTGATGCTTTTGTTTTCGCCTCTGTCTGCAAGTTCCCCGTGCTCCCTGGCGCGGCTGAGTCGGCAGCCTCTGCAAAGCTCTGAACATCCCCCTCAGGGGCGAGGCGGCGGCTGCAGGCGGGCGGAGAGAGCCCCACTCCGCGGAAGGGGAGCTGCCGCCGAGGAGGCACCGCCTGAGCTTGGCCAGAGCGTGCCGTTGCCCGGCGGGGTGGGCAGAGGGCTCCTGGGGGAGCAGCAGGTGGAAGGTGGCAGGAGCTGAAGAAGAAAGACCCAGACCACAGGCAGAAAGCTGAGCGTGTCCATCCCCACGGTCACCCTCCCCCTTCCAGCCGGCCTGTCCTGGGAGCAGGCACTGGAGAGGGGCTGTGGGGGCACAGCAGACTGGACTCTGATGCCAGGACCCTGTGCAGGTAGGAAGCCTGGCCAGGCACTCCTGAGGGTTAATGGGGGGCCCAAAGGGGCCATGCTGGGCTTCAGGTGGGCAGGCTTGCTGGGAGCAGGGACAGGTCAGCCAGGTGTGAGACCCCCAAGGCACCCATCACCCCCCACCATGTTTTGCCTGCTAAGATGCTGGTCGGCCCCAGGGCTTTGCTCTCCTCAGAGCCCAAGTCAGAGAGCAGCCCAGGCCCCCTTCCCCACCAGCAGGAGCCCTCAGTCTGTGCCATGTCTGCTGGCGGCCGGGCAGAGTGCCATCTTAATGCCAGGCACCAGCAGCGCCTGCCTGCCTGCCCATGAAATGTGCATTCGGTGATGGAGTGTTTTCCCTCCCCCTTCCGCAGCTACTCCTAAGTATGTGGCATCCTGTACCACATCTTTTCCTGCATCCTGCGTGTCTTGGTGCATCTGTCTTGAAAAGCCTGCTGCATGCTGGGTTGTAGGTGGAAGAGCCTCGGGGTCCAGTGGAGACCTGGGAGGGGCTTGGTACCTGTTGCCCCGCCGTCCCTGAGATGCCCGGCCGGGAGCGTGGGGGACGAGGCGAGGGCGCAGGGGATGCCTGGGGAGGTTCTGTGGCAGTGCTGCCTCCTCTGGATGCAGTCGCCACGTGGAGAGCTGGCAGGCGGCTGGGAACTGCCAGGGGCTGGCCCCGTAACCAGACCGAATGGACCAGAGCTGGATGAGGGGGCTGAGCAGGGGGAGTCCCTGGTCCAGTCCTTGCCGCCACCCCACCCCACCTTGTTCTCTGTCTCATTCTCACGGTTTTAGCGGATGCTCCCCTGCACAGGTGAGGGTTGGGGGGATGCTGGGGGCAGATGGGTGCTTCTGCCCGTCTCCACGGTAACGAGAAGCCCAGGGTCCCTCTGGGACCGCTCATTAATTCCTCCCTCCCTCCCTCCTTCCCTCCCGACTTCCCTGCTTCCTGTCTCACTGTCCCTCTCCACCCGCCACTCACCTGTGGACCCTCTGCCCACACTGCCCCACCCTGGGCTGGGGGCTGCGGTCACCGAGATGACAGGCACGGGGCCCCTGCCTGCCCTGGAGGGGCTCTGCTCTCAGACAGACCGACCCCTACGCCTAGGGCCCCAGCCCCCCAAGCCGCCTCCTCTCCTCCTTTGGCATTTGCCGCCTACCTCTGTGTGCAGGTGCTGCTGCCTCCAGGAGGACAGGAGCCGTATGTTCCAGACAACTGAAAGCATGTCCTTGGGACATGGGTGAGGTCGGCTCCCATGGCCCCAGCTTCTCTTTTTGTAAAACAACTTACAGAATGTGTCAATCTAAAAGCACATTCAGAAGGAATGCCTGTTTACCAGAGACTAAACCAAAGAAAGCGTCCCTCGTCAGTGCCATCACCCAGGCTGACTACTGTTAGCATGTGGAAGTCACGTGCACGCACACACACACACACAAATGCATGCAGAGACACAGCAGGCACCCCCACCCCCCACCCACACGGGCACACGCGCACCGTGACCTGCCTTCAGCCTGATGTCACATCCTGGCTGACGTGAGTCCTGGTCCTCACCCTTCAGTGCTGGCCTGTGATGCCAGCATCGGGTAGCGGTGCTCCCTGCCATCCGGGTGTGAGCTGCCAGGGCCAGGGGGCTGAGTAGGCATCCCTGCTGCAGGGCTTCTCAGAGCCTTGACAGGCTGACATGCGCCTGAGCACCCAAGGGTGAAACAGACTATCCATGTCCCCAAACTCTCTGGGGTGAGGCCCAGGGCTTGGGGCCTGCACACCGCACAGGGCCTTGCTCTTGGGGGTCTTGGGTTGTAGGGCCCCTTGGCATTCTGCACTGGCTGCCAGATGCCCCCAACTCCCCTGCTGCCCCTGCTAAAGCTTCGATTCGCTGCCCCGCACATCTGTTTCATCACCGCATTCCGATGGTCGCGTCTTCTAAGATCTGGGTTTGGTTCCGCTCATTCAACAAGGAAGTTCCTAAAGCTTCAAATTGGGCCCATGAGTACACCGTGAGCGCACTGGGAGCTGCTGGCCTGGGTCGGGGTCCTGGGTCAGGGGCCCGTGTGGTGTGCGGGTGGCCCTCCCTCACAGTGGGAGGGCCGGGGAGCCAGCTCTCCAGTGAGTGGCAGAGCCACAGATGGCTTTAGGGAGGCACAGAGACCTGCCTCCCGTGTGCCAGGCTCCGACAGCCCAGGGCAGCTCCTGTGCCTCCCAGCCAGGCGAGGAAGGGCCTGCAGCTCCTCTGTGCAGGGGTGGGAAGGGAATGTCTGGTGCCCAGAGACACGCCACAGCTCCGGCTGCAGGCCCGCCCTGCAGGTCTGAAGGGCGCTGCTCAGAACCCTGCCCTCTGACTGGGTGGCGGCTGAGGAACACCTCTTGCTCCCGGCCTTGAAGGCTTCCTTCCTGGTGAGCCTTGTCCTGTCTCATTAAGTGTGCAGCCGCTTGTCAGAAGGCACGAGACACCTTTTTAAAGCCATGCCCTACAAAATCTCATGGGTTTTTAATGTACTTTTCAGATCTGAGCCACCTCAAGTCCCACCAGGCCAAGGAGCTGGGGTGGCTGGGATGACAACTCCAGGCGCCATTGTCCCTTCTCGGACAGTAACTGGGGAGGCCCTGAAATAGCGGGGGCGGGTGGGGACAGCAGTGTTCTGATGCATGGAACCCCGCTGCAGCTGCCGCTGGGAGAGATCATGGCGGTGACGGTACAGGAGGACCGAAGGGGGAGGACGCTTTTGTCTTTGACTCTGTAAGCCTGTCTCATCTGCCCAGGCTGAAGTAAGAAACACTGCAGACTGCATGGCATAAACAATAGTCATTTCTCACGGCCCTGGAGGCTGCACATCTGTGATCGAGGTGCCAGCCTGTTTGGTCCTGGGGAGGTCCTCTTCCCGGCCTGCTGACAGCCCCCTTCTCCCCGGGTCCTCACGTGGTGGAGAGTTCTGGTGTCTCATAAGGACACAAGACATCACGGGGGCCCCACACGTCTGCACTTCAACCCTTTGCGTGGCTGGATAATATTCCACTATGTGGACAGACCATGGTTTGCTCATCCGCTCCCCACTGACGAGCGTTTGGGTGGTTTCCAGCGCTGCCTATTGAGGATAAGGCTGCCCTAAAGTTCATGTACATGGACATTCTTTGGGTGGACCTGTGTTTCCATTTCTCGAGTTCTTTCTCTTCATTAGTCTTATGTACTGAGGCGTGGAGTTGCTGGTCGTATGGAACTGTGTTCAACACTTGGAGGCTCTAACCGTTCCCCACAATGGCCGCACCGTGTTACGTTCCCACCACCGGTGCGCAGGAGTTCCTATTTCTCCACATCCACACCAACACTTGTCATTCTCCATGTTTTTGGAGAAAGGTCTATTCAAGTCCTTTGCCCACTTTTTAATCAGACTGTGTGCCTCTTTGCTGTTGATGTTGAGCTGTAGGAGTTCTGTATGTATTCGGAGCACTTAACCCTTATCAGATCTGTGATTTTCAAGTATTTTCTCCCATTCCGCAGGGTTTCATTTTCTGGAGAGCATTCTTCGATGCACATAGTTTAATTGCTGTGAGAAAAAAATGTCTCTATTTCTGTTGTTGCTCCTGCTCTCAGTGTCGGACCCAAGAACCCACTGCCGGGTCTGGGATCCTGAAGATGTGCCCCTGCGTTGTCTTCTAAGCACTCTGTGGTTTAGCTTCCATGTCTGGGTCATTAGTCCGTCCTGTGGGAAACCTTTCATTGGTGTGTAAGCATGGCGCGTACACTCGCAGCTTGATCGATTTCCACAATGTGAATATTGCAGCTTCTCAGCCTCCAGCCTGGTGGTCTGGCTTTGGGGTGTGGACCCCCATCCTCACGCGCCCCCCAACCCCAGGCCCCGAGCAGTTAGAGTGAGTGGGAGAAGCCGGACACACAGAGCAGTGAGGCTGTTGCTCCTGAGGTCACAGCCGGGCCAGGAGTGCACTCTGGCCTCCGGTGGACTGTGGCCTCCATGTTGATTGCCTGGGGCTGGGGAGCATGTGAGGGTGGGGTCTGCCCCCCAGAGCCAGACCATCAGCTGGGGGCTGAGAAGCTACAAGGGGCCAAACGCTGGGCTCTGATCCTGGCTCCCCCACCTTCCTGCTGTGTGACCTCTGTCAGGTTCCTCCACCTCTCTGTGCCCCTTATGGAAAATGAGGAGAAAGATGTAGCTCATGGGACTGTCTCAGTGAGGACAAGTCTGTATGTGAAAGGGCTTCTTTCCTGGAGCTGTGGAAACGGTAACCACGTTGCAGTTATTTTTGGAGGCTGGGGGAGTTTGCTGGGTGCCAGGCGGGGAGGCACTTCGCATAGGGAGGGAAGCAGGGACTCAGTGGCGGTGGGTCTGCTTTCCCTCCAGGACGGGTCTCCCCCAAATGTCTATTGCAGAGTTTCTGCTGCTGAAGGTGGTGGGGGGTGTCCACTCCCCAGTGGGAAGGGTGGCCTGCATGAGGTGGGCAGGGGGACAGGCCAGAGGTCACAATGTTTTCGAGGTGTCAATCCTCGACAGCTGTCACATTGAAGACAGGTGGTTTTGCTTCTAAAGATACAGGGCTGTTCTGACCCGTCTGCACCACGGAAAAAGGGGGCTGCTCCGAGCCCTTGGCATCAAGATGCCAGTAGTCAGAGGCAGCTGCCTTCCCCAGTGTGTCAGGGCCCGTGCTGCATGCAACCTGCTACCAGGACAGATCCCCACAGCCAGCGGCTCCTGCAACAGCCGTGTCAGGCTCTGCCCTCGGTGCTCACTGTTTGGGGGGAAGAACAACCCCTAGTCATCCACACCCTGTGAAATGCGGCTGTGGGGGCCCAGAGGAGGGGAGCACCCGGGGGAGGCCTCCAAGAGGAGGGTGCACTTGAGATGAAGAGCCTTCGGGTGGCTGGGTGGGAGTGGGAAGGCACCGCAGACAGAGAGAGCCGTTCGTGCCGAGGTCTGGAGGTTCTGGGGCCGGACCGGGGATCCAGCATCCCTGAGCTTCCCTGGAGGAATCTCTTGGCCCCAAGATGTGGGCGGGCACCTCAGGCGCCATGCAGGAGAGGAGCTGGGGCTGGAGACTTCGTCCCTGACACACGGGGGTCACCTCGGGCCTGGTTGGCACCCCAGGTGGCAGGTGGTAAGGGAAAGAAAGGCAAGAGGCTCGTTGTGAATGTTTAGCCCCGTACATGCGCAGGAAGTGACTATCGCATTTCTCCCTGTTTCAAGGAAGAGCGGGATGTGGGGTCAGGGTCCATAGCAGCCCTCCCTACCCCCAGATTAAAAATACGATGAAGAAATGCTGGAGACAGTATTTTGGGGAGATTTTTCTCTTCGTACCATGTAGAACTAAGCCAACCCAGCCAATGTAATTTTATCTCATTTCAGTATTAATATTTTCATCTAATTTAATGGATTTTTAGAATCATAAAAATAGTAAATGCTAATCGAGAACGTTCAGCAGTACAGAGATACGTAAGAAAACGATCAATCACTTTTCGCCACACTCCTCCAGCCCTCCCACCTGGGAAATAAAGTCAACTCCGTCCTTCCCCGGTTCCTGTTCTCCTCGCCCCCAGATACAGAGACGAATGGGACCCTGTGGGATCCCGGGGGTTGGGCGGGCACACCTGTGTCCTGGAGGTTGGGGCGTCCAGCCAGTCTCTGCTCCCAGACTTGGCCCCCAGAAGGCAGAGGCCAGCTGTCACACTCAGCACGCCACACAGCCTGGGGGCACGCACTGGCGCAGGGTCCGTCCCTGGCCCGGTCCTGAGCCCTGAGGGCTGCCGGCTGTCCACTGCACAGCACGCCCTCTGGTGCCAGCTGCCTACCCCGCAGGGGTCGTGCCATGCCCCAAAGCTAAGTGACTCCGTCCGCACCTGAAGTGGCCACACCTCTGCTTTGTCCTTTCCACAGGCGGGCGAGAAGCACTACCACCCTCTGTGTGCCCTGTGTGTGCGATGCGGCCGCATGTTTGCGGAAGGCGAGGAAATGTATCTTCAAGGTAAGAACAGAGAGGCGCGCCGCTCAGTCCGCGTGGGCAGGAGGCGAGCTCTCAGGCCCCTGCCACGGGCTGGGTGTGACCTGCTGGGTCACAGGCATTATCTCACTAGTTAGGAAGATGTTGCAGGAAGAAATATTGAAAATAATATTTGGGGGTGACTTTTCTCTTTGCACCATCTAGAATTCTGCTAAGCCAGCCAATGTAATTTTAGGTGATTTCAGTATTAATATTTTTGTCTAATGAATGCATTTTAAGAATTATGAAAATAGTAAAGGCTGAGAACCTTCAGCAGTCCAGGGCTATTGTTCTGCTGGAACAGACTCAGTGTGGTGCATAGGCAGAGCCCCTGGGCCTGGTGAGGGCCTGGACTGGGGAGAGGGAGCCGATGCCGCTGGGACCTTCCCCGGGACAGGTCAGGGGAGGGTGGCTTTGGTACCGAGACCTCTTCTCTTTAGCCACAGTTTCTTTTCAACGATGTCTCTGTCTCCGGGGGCGGGAGGCGAGCTGCACAGGGCCGGGCGGCTGGGAGGGCCACGCTGTCCTGCAGGCAGGCCGGGTAGTGACCTCATTAGCTGTTTTCTTGGGCTGCATGTCAGACAGGCTGCCCTTTCTGGGGCCGACCCTCATGGAGTGACATCAGCCTGTTCAACCTCATCCCCACTGTCCCCTTTTGCTCCTTGAGTCATTGCTTCAGAGCCCATGAAAGGGGCCCTTTGCACCCCTCCCACTGCTGCTAGGATGTCTGGGTGGGAGGGGTGCCTCTGCCTGAGGCACCCATCCCTGGAAGTAATGCTTTCAGGCCCTCCTGATGCCAAGTACAGAGGCACTGGGGTAGCGTGGGGATGCAGCTCCCCATCGAGGGGGACCCAGTCTCAGGAATCAAGATGCTGTTCGTGGCTCTGGGCCAAGGCTGGCACCCCACTTCTAAAGGGGGTCCTGCTGTGGCTTTCTGTAGGATGTCGGAGCCAGTCCCGTCCCTTGTCCCAGCCCCGGATTTCCTAGCCAGCGCAGTGAGGAGCGGGACTAGGTGGGAAGCTTTCAAGTTCCAGGCAGGAGTGCCAGCGTCCCAGGCCCCTGGCCTCTTTGGGGGCCCTGACCCCACCCTGCCTGGGCACCCTGAGCCCTCCTGTCTGGTCTGCCTGGATGCTGGGGCCCCATGAAGGGGTTGCTTGGCATGTGAATCCTGTGCAGTCAGACCTCCAAAGAGCAGGGCTTCTGCTGAGCTGCGGGACTGGCCCTTCCCTGGCATCACCACTCCCACCATGGGCTCACCCCCAGCCGGACACACTTTCCATTAGACGCAGGCAAGGAGATGTTGACCCTCACTAATTATCAGGGAGACCCAGATTAAAGTAGTGATTAAGTGCTGTTTTTTTCCCCATTGTGTTGACAAAGTTTAAAAAGGAGGGCATGCCCCCAATGTCGTAAGGATTCAAATTGGGTTTCTTACCCGGCTGGTAGCAGCAGAAATTGGGAAATTGCCAGTTTGCAACAAGAGCCTTAAAAATGTCCGTATCCTTCGAGCCGGGACTCCATTTATCGGAAATCTTCAACTAAATAAGAGCAATGTGCCAGAACTTACGTGCCGCGAGCCCTCACCACATCATTCGGAAATAAAACACTGGAGCCGGCAAGCAAGGGCCGGACGGTGAATCCTGGTCCGTCTGCGCAGTGGGACGTCACCCAGCCCTCGTGGTTACGTGCTGGATAGTTAATTATACGGGGAAAGGTCCAAGACATTTCTGAGCAAAACTCACAGGATACAGAACTGCATGTACAGCCTGATCCTCATCTATGAAAAATACAAATATACTAGTAGATAAGAGATTATAGGGGATTTTAATTTTCTTATTTATACTTTCTAAGGTTTCTTTAATTTTTAATAAGAACACCTATTACCTTTGTAGTCATAATCCATTTTAAAAAAATAAATATCTTACACACATACATCCCTCCCACCCCCACCCCCCGCACCAATGTGTTCCCCCTGAGAGGCAGTAATAAGCTTTCTTCCCAGGTGTCAATGCGTCTGACCTAGAAGGCTTTCAGACCAGAAATGGGATGCAGCTCTTCCCTTCCAGACATATGTCAGAGCCCCTACTATGTGCCAGGCCCTTTGGGGCAGGTGAGAGGGAGAGACACAGCCCCCTGGTGGGCCCGCCCCGCCCCTGCAGAAGAACCGTGAGGACGAAACACACGTGCGCCCTTCCAGTCTGTCATTAGCCAGCTTGAGCTTATAAATCCTCCCAGGGGGCTGGCACGGGGGTGTTATGATTGGTCCTGTTTGCAGGTGGGAGAAGTCTGAGGCTTGGGGAGTCTGAACTGGGAAAGGGCAGGGCCTGCAGGGCACCTGCAACCTTGCTACTGTCCTTCCAGCTGCTGATGTGGGTGGCCAGGTGGAGCTGGCAGGGGGAGAAACTGTGGTACCGGAAAGCTCAGAGACCCAGGGAATTAATGACAGGGTGGGGCCGGGGGCCCTGCTCTTCACCCCACACCTAAGGGCCTGCCAGCCAAGAGCCCCCCAAAGCCCACACCCCAGGGCTGCCCCCACCCCAGTTCCAGCCCCAGCTGTGCCCCCCACATGCAGGCAGGAGCAAGGGGGCGCCGCAGGACAGCCCTCCTCTCCTGCATCTGAACCAGGAGCCACCAGACAGCGCTCCCTTGAGAACCTCATCTGGCTGCCCAGGATGGGCGAGGTGCCCTCCCAGGTTCCTCTGCCCCAGTCAGGCCCCCGGAAGAGCAGTTAGTTCACAGTGGTGCATTTTCCTGATTATTTCATGTCCCCCCAACTGGGCTGTGAGCCCCCTGGAACGAAACGTGCAATCTGCCTGCGCAGGATGCAGGGGATGGGTGGGCTGATGTGGGTCTGCATGTGGACCACCAGCTCCCCCATCCCCCCACTCCCCATGACCCCTGTGTCTCCCCCTGCATCTCTGGAAGTCACACTATAAACCCTTCCCCCGGGAATCTGTCCACAGGTTCCTCCACCTGGCACCCGGCATGTCGACAAGCAGCCAGAACTGAAGACAAAAACCAGGTCAGTGGGATTCACTGTTTCCTCCCATGGATTCTTTAACAGTTCTGGGCAACTGTCATACAGTTGAGAGAATGCTCACCAGCCTCTGCAGGCTCACAGGGCAGTCCCACCAGGCTGCGGGCAGGCAGCATGAGGCCTCAGGGGTATTAAGGTGGAAATAAGTCGATCAGCCGAGGGACATGGTAGGTGGGGCGAGGGGCATCTCGGGGCCTCCTTCCCTGGCCCTGCTGACCTCTTCATTTGTCCAGTGGACACTGATGGCCGAGAAAGGCTAAGGACAACTGGAAGTTAGCAGGTCTCCCAACAGTCCCCCAGACCATTTTGGGGGCTCTGTAAACTGATTGCTGCATGGTTGATTCCATTCTCCAGGTGACATGACCCAAGAGCACCCCAGATCCCATGGCCAGTCCTGCTGTGGCCAGCCCGCGTCCCCTCCTCCCCGCCCCCGACTGTCAAGTATGACTAATCCTCTCCTTAAACCAACACGTCCTGTCAGATGTGAGAGATCTCCCCACAAAATGCAGGCAAAGGCCGGAGCTCTCCAGGCAAGTCCCAGGCCTTCCCCCTCAGGCCCAGTGGGATGCCAGGCAGAGGGGTGGCAGTGAGGAGGCAGGTGTGGGCCTTGCCCTCCTGGGCCACCATTCCAGAGAGACGCAGAAATGGAGGCCTAATCAAGCAAATGAGGCTGGAGGGGCAGGTGCCCTGAGAAAGCCCGCAGGACGTGGTTGGGCAGCAGGGGGCAGAGCCTCTTTGCTCCGGAAGGCCAGGGAAGACCCCCAGAACACATGAGTGGGAGCCTGAAAGATGGCCCCGCACCAGCCCTGATGGGCCGGCTGGGGAGGAAGGGTCTGGGCAGGCTGGGCAGCTCGTGCCAAGCCCCCCATTTGCTTGATTAGGCATCCATTTCTGCGTCTCTCTGGAATGTCGGCCCAGGAGGGCAAGGTCCACACCTGCCTCCTCATTGCTGTCCCTGTGCCTGAGCCAGCAAGCACCAGGAGCTCAGGGGAGGCTGGGGGGCTGCCCAGTGAGCGGGGGAGGAGCTCCTCCCTCTGCCCCCTCGCCCCTCCCCATGCCCCCAGCTGCTGTGTCTTGCCCAGCAGCGTGCACTTCCGCAAATGCTGTTCCTATTCCCAGGAACACCTTCGCGTCCCCTTGCATCCCAGCAAACTCTTACTTCAGGTCTTTTAAGATTGATCATAACTGCTGAAGACTTTGCTGACTGCCCCCCTGCCCCACACCCTCCCGCCCCGGCCAGGTAAAGGGCTCACTCCTCTGTGCTCACAGCTCACCTGCACCCCGCATCCCTCGGGGTCCCACCAGTTCCGTGGGCTTTGCTTCACCTGGAGCCTGGGCGAAGGCGCCCTCTGTTCCGAGTTTCTGGCTCCTGGCTGGGCTCCCAGCACATGACAGAGATTTGACTGTTAGTTGCACCATTGCACTAAGGCATCTAGGGGTGACCTGCAGCCTGGGGAACCAGAGACCTTCGGAGGGGATGTCTCTGCCACTTTGCTTTGCCAGGCATCATGTGTGCCAGACCCTGTGCAGGCACTGCCTCAGCAGGACCCCACCAGGAGCTGTGACCTTTGGGCCCCAGGACAATGCAGAGGGGGCAGAGCCCTGTGGGGCCAGTGTTATGGGACCCACAGGACACCCCTTCAGGCCTTGTGCAGCCCCAGGACCACAGCGACTCCCGCCTTCTGCTCCCCCCCCCCACACAGGGTGTTCCCGGCGTCCCCGCCGCCCTGGAACAGGCTACCATGAGGCAGTTTGCAGGGGGCCCTGAAGACCCTCACGCGCAAGTGTCCGCCTGGAGGGGGCAGAGCAGAGCAGCCAGGTGTGAGAGGGACTTGGGTGCAGGCGAGTTCTGCGCCATGGTGGGGGGGGGCTTGGGGGCCGCGCTATGCCTTTGCAGCATACTTTCCTCTGACTGGGGGCCCCAGGAGCCCCCTCACCCTTAGCCCTGCAGTGTGGGCACAGCTGGTCAGCCAGCCCCCACTGACCACTTCCCCAGAAGCCCCAGACGCTGTGTGTGCTTAGGGTTTTAGAATTTCTGGTGGGGCTGGATGGAGGCCCATGGACTCCGGCCTCTGAGCCAGGCAGGGGCGCTGGCTGGTGGAGAGCCTCCTCATCCCTGTGCCCTCAGGGTGGGGGACCCACCCAGTTCAGCAAACCTGTCAGTCCTGTTCTGAAAGAGCCCAGCCGAGGAAGGTCCCCCATTTCTTTGGGTGGGTTTGAAAACCCCGCTTTCATGCTCCACTCCCTGGGCATCCCCACTGCTCGCTTGGCCAACCATCACCATGGGTCTGGCAGTGCCAAGCCCTGTTCTTGGGGCACAGAGGTGACAGTCATGAGTCCTGCCCCAAGATGCCCCTGGTAGAGGAGGGAATGGTGGACACACGTGCACGTCATGTCTGATGGCCACAGGGACGGGGAAAGGGACCCTGGTCCATGGGGAACAGGCATCCCCTTCGTGCCCCCAGGCCTCCCCTGGCCCCCACAGCCTCTTGCATTGGGTGCACTATTGCTCAGGCCCTTTCCATGGCCACGAGGCTGGGCTGGAATGTCACCCTGTGCGTCCCAGTGCTCCCTTCAGGGCAAGCGCCTCCTTCCATTTGTGATCTTGTTTTCTGTATTTTACGATGGTGCCGGCTGCTTTGCTTGGGGTCCAATCCAAGTGTCCACAGGGGCCTCTGATTTAATCTAGGTTCATATGATCACCTTTGATGCCCAAAAAGACGAGGCCTTTTCAGCCTGGAGACCCCGTGTCAAGCACTGGTGGGCACAGACCTTTGCATGGCCGCTGTTCGAGCCTCAGGCCTGGGGGTGGAGAGGGAGGGCTCCCCGAAGGGCTAGAGGGCCAGGGTCCCCGCCCCAGGGCACCGGAAGCAGCAGGGGCTGCTGTGCTGGGAATAGTCCCCCTGTGAAGGGCCTGGGGCCTGGGGCAGGTCTGTGGCTGCTGGGACCTTGGGCTGGCTGCCTGTCAGGGTCACTGCCTGCAGCTGCTCCTCTGTCACCCTAGGGTCCTCTCAGTCTCAAATGGCAGTTCTGGGTGGCAGAGAGGCTGAGGGCCTGATGATTGAGCAGAAGGAAGCGAGGGGCAAAGCCCTATGTCCTGGGGAGGGCCTCTGGGGCTGCAGTGGCTAGGTCCACACTCCGCGAGTGCCACAGGTGACAGCCATCACCATTCTGGCTGAATTCCCAGAACTGTCATTTGAATCACAGAACCCAGGGGCTAGGGGTGGAAGCAGCCCACCCAGGCTCCTCTCCCCCGCCCGCTGCTCAGTGCTGGGGTTGCTGCTGCCTTCGCCTGGCAGCGTCCCCACTCGGGGCCCTGTGCCTGGGGGTGTGCAGAGGCGAGGAAGGGGACAGATCCCCCGCCAGTCCCCCCAGCCCCAGGGATGCAGAGGCCTGGGAGGAAGCTGGGGCTGCGTTCATTTCCTGTGGCCGCTGTAACGAATGACCACAAATTAAAAGCCTGAGCTTACAGCTCCCGAGGAGGTCAGGGTCTAAAACGGGCAGGCGCTTGCGTTCCTGCTCGTGGCCCCACGCGGCTCAGGCCCCTCCCACGCCACACCACCCCAACCCCCTCCCTCCTCCTCTTGAGGACCCTGCAATGATAGGGGCCTGCCCTGACCATGCCAGGCCACTCCGGTCTCAAGCTCCTTGATCCCATCTGCCAAAGTCCCTTTGACCACACACGGTGACACGTTCACGGGCCTGAGGGGTCAGATGTGGGTGTCCTTGAGGACGTCAGTCTGCTGACTGGTGGCAGAGTGCACCGTCTGTCATGTGTGTGGCCAGTGTCCCCAGGCGGCGGGTACACGGGGGCTGTCCATCGAGCTCTCACACTGCGCACAGTTCACACTGTGATCTGTCCCATGCTCCCCAGGGCCTCAGAGCGCAGCCCGACAGCACCCCTGCCCTCTCACAGCCACGATCCATGACCCTGAAGTGAGCACAGGGTCCTGACCTTTGTCTGTGGGACCCCCTGCCCCATCCCCAAGGTCTGCCACAGGGTGCTGCCTGATGGAGGGAGCCCACACGCCAGGGCCTCCGGACCACACCTGCGCGTGCGGGTGGATCGGCCCACCACCTGAGACTGACCAGGGCTGGAAAGGGGGACCTGGGACCATGGGCGCCCGCTCAGGGACTAGTCAGATGGCCAGTGCTGGCTCCTGGGTTCTGGGCCTGCTGTGGAGCTGACCCCGGACCTGCAGGCAGCTGAGCTCTGCCCTCAGCCTACAGCCGGCCTGTGATGACCGAGGGCCACGGGCCTGGCAGAAGGGAGGCCTTCTGAGTGCTGGACATCGGCAGGCCAGGCAGGAGAAGCTCATTCCCCGGGGCCGCACACCGGGATGGGCTCCCTGGGCTGTGTCCACAGAAGCTCCGGGGCTGAGCTGGCAGCCGGAGAACAGCCGTCCCCTCAGCGCTGCCCCCTGGGGCTGGCTTGGCCTGGGGCTGCCCCTCCATGCCCTTGACGGGATCCAGCCCCTGCCTGTCTCTCATTTCACCCTGCCATGTCCCAGCCCCACCCCAGCCCCTCAAAGCCTCTCTGTCTCTTTCTGCCTGAGAAATAGAACAAACCCTGGGCTGGGCCGGGCCAGGCGGTGAGAGGATGGGGCTGGCACAGGCCGTTTCCTGGGCGCTTGGGTTCCCTTGAAGACAGATAGCTCTCCTTGCCAGGCTGGCTGCTCCTGGCCTGGGGGGCAGGAAGACAGCTGAACCCACCAGCCCCAGTCAGCTGGGCAGGCCAGCTGGGCAGGTGGGCTCTGGGTCAGCTCCGGGTGAGCTGGGTGGGCCCCAGCCCCTGAGGAGCGCAGCACAGGTGGTGAGGGTACTGACGCAAAGCAGGCCCCAGACTAGGGCTGACTCCCCATTACCTGGCCAGTGACTGTCAGTTAGCAAGTGCCCCTGCGTGCCAGGCCCAGGGTGGGCTCTAGGACCCCCGGGGAGCCAGCTCCATCCCTGCCTCTGAGTTGCCTCCATCCAGCAAGAGAGGCCAGCTCGGGGGCTGCTCATTTCCTGGCTGTTGGAGCCCCCCAGCCCCGGGACGGGCGCTCCCCAGGACAGGGACAGCGAAGGCTGTGGCCCTAACTGCCCATCGCGGTACATCCTTACGCACTGAAGCGTGTGGTCATCCAGCACACAGACACTGATCACTTACTGTGTGCCTTGCAGGCTGGATGCTGGGGACCAGAGGTAAGTAAGGCTGGCGGGTTCCCTCCCTGGAGGAGCTCCCCCTCATCTGGTGGGGAGACAGACATGGAATGGACAGGCTCCAAATTGCAGAGTGCCCTGCCCAGAACAGAGAGGGATGGGCCGCTGGATGGGCCTGGGGGCCGGCGTGGGCAGGGGCCGGCTTCCTGGAGCTGGCTTGGGCAGTGGTGTGCAAGTGTCACGGGGCCAGCCCTGTTCGCACTCAGGGTCCTGGTCCAAGGAGCCAGTGATGTGCACAGGTTGGACGTGGGTTTCAGAGCCGTGGGAAGGGGCAGCCCCTTGCCTGCTGAGGGGCTGGGGAGCAGCTCCTTGGAGGTGAAGATGGCCAGAGACTGGGTGACGAGGTGGGAGGGAGGGAGCCTGGACTAGGGGCTGGTCTCTCAGGCTGCAGGTTTCCATGGTTTCAAGAGGCAATGTCCTGCCCACCCCACCACCCCAGGCACAGAGGTCCAAGCTGCTCCCTGTGGCTACCTCTGGGAAGGAGCGAGTGGGCCTGTGTTCAGCAGGCCTCTGAGTAGGGAGATAACAGGCTTGGGGAGATGCCCAAGAGGCCCAAACGCAGGGACATGTGAGCAAGAATGTCCTAACAACCTTCTCAGAGGCAGCCGAGGGTGGTTGGGCAAGGCTTACGCTGGGGCCTGGCTCTGCCGCCTCAGCTCTGTGACCTTGGATGAATCAGGAGGCCTCTCTGAGCCTCAGCTTTAGCATGGGAAGGAGTGGTTGTCTGCCCCCCTGCCCATGGTGTTGATGTGACTTGAGTGTGACCTCAGTGAGAACCAGACACCCTGGTCCTTGTTAAAAGACAGGCTTCCGCAGGGCCAGGCTGTGAGGTAGGGCTGGGCTGGGCATGTGGCCTGGCGCCTTCTGTCTCTGAGGGTGTGACAAGGCCCCAGACAACACAACTGGGTATTGAGTCCGACTGTATGGCTCCTTTGGGCAAATTGGAGTCTGGGTATTGGGAAAGTGAGAGAAAGCCTGTCTCCTGACCCTATGGGAAATGACCTCGATGCAGCCCCCTCCTGTCTGGGCTCAGGGGCCTGGGAGGCGCTCTGCCCCTGTGCCCCTTTCCACAGAGCTGGGGACTGGGCACAGAGAGGGCGGGTCATGCAGCCACCAGCTGCTTGCTCGGGTGCCTTAAATGAGCCAGAACAAACCCAGGGATGCTGCGGAGCAGCCGAGGGCCCTCAGTCCCATTGGCGCTGGTGATGACCTGGGTGCCCCCCCGGGCCGCTGCCCCGCTGGGCCTGAGCCTCCTCCCCAGGGCCTGAGGGCCGGTTCTCCTGCCTCTGTGCAGATCTCACTTAGGAACTTTGTTTTTAAAATGCCTGCTGATAGTCTGCTTTGCAAAGAAGGGGCTTCCTGTCACCAGCCCAGTTTGAACTGAAATAAAAGGATGATTTATCAGTGCTGAGCACCTAACAGGCTGTATCTCCGAGTGAATCTTTGGAAATGCAAAGAGTCTTTCAGGAGGTTTTTCCATTTTATAGAGAAAGAACGTGAGACTCAATGGACATTTCAAATTTATAAAATATATCTGTACATCATCGTTGGCTGGTAAAATAGGTGACCTAGTCCCAGGGAGAGAGAGAAAAGCAGACTGTGTGTTACCTGCCGTTAGAGTGGCGTCATCTCCTCTGCCAGCAGCATGTGACACTTATCTTCCCCAGGGGTGGCTGACTCAGGACTGCACCAGGGGCCAGGCTGAGGGCACAGGCAGGTCCCTGAGTCGACGCCCCGTCCAGTGAGCATGTGTGGGGCTGCGAGGCTCTGGGAAGCAAGGCGGGCCTCCAGGTGGAGGCGGCAACCCCAAACTCAGCCCCAGAGGATGCCAGGGCACTTAGGCTAAGGGGGTATTGAGAAGGGCCAGGCCAGTGCTGACCAGGGGCGAGTAAGGAGCTGCCCAAGGACCGTCACACCCTCTGCCTCTTCTCTGTCCGTTCTAGACGCAGAACCGGGTTTCCGATCAGGTTTACCTGGGTGCCGCCCCCTAGGCCTTTCAGGTTTGTCCCTTCTGCTGCTCCATGTGGCCTCATGTCTGGCCCCGGAGTCGTCCCGTCCTTGCTGGTGTCATGCTGACTATAGGAGTGTGTCCACGCAGAGATGGGGCAGGCCTGACATGGGGGACCGGAGGACACAGGTGGCCAGGGGATCTGTCACCTCGTGGGGGGCAGGAGATGTGGTTGGGGAGGGAAGGGGGCAGGAGGGGCCCCAAACAGCAGGTGTTGGAGAAGCACGTCACAGATGTGACCCCTGCCAAGCCTGACAACAGAGGACCAGGCTGGCAGAAGGAGCTGCTACACCCCCCATATTCCAGTGGAAAATTACATCTCTGAGCAGCAAATTCTGGGTGGGAGAGACGGCTTCTGCTGTCGAAGCCGCAGGATCATTTGAAGATGCGTGACCGCTCTGATCCTCCAAAAACCACGATTTCCATGATGTGGAAGCCTCGCGGCAGGGGGAGCTTTTCCGGCCAGTCACTGCTGTGCGTGTAGCCAGTGTCGCCTGCTGTGTCCATCTGGTTATAGCTCTTCCAGTGGTTCATTCAAGCCTGCATGTTCATTTCAAAAATACTTTCAACCTGCGAATAAAAAACAATATCCTGTGAGCCAGGTGGAGCGTGGCTTGTGGCGACCGCCCCTGGGAGTTCTCAGCGCTGACAGTCCTCCCTTCACTCTCCCATCCTCTCCTCCTCTCGCAGGAGACCAGGACCTCCTCCGAAAGCATCATTTCTGTCCCTGCTTCAAGCACCTCAGGGTCTCCGAGCCGCGTGATTTATGTAAGTTGGTTCTTTCTATGAAAAGGGGAGACGGGCAGTGGGGAGGGCACATGGGCCTGGGGCTATTGCTCAGCCCTTGGGGGGGCTGGGGAGTCCTCCAGGGGCCAGCATGCTCTCACCCCTGCGCATGGAGATCGGTACAGATTTTATGAGGGTGTCTTGGAGCCCTCGACATGGACCAGCAGCTAGAGCTAAATAAACAGTACTTGAGCACATGCAGCACTGGGCGGGCATTGTGAATAACAGTGTAGATCCGTGCCTGTTCCCATGGAAAGTGTCCCTAACGTGTTTCTAGAAAAATGTTAGGGCTGATGTATGTTATGTGATCCCATTGTCAATAAAAGGAGTGCATGTGTGTGGGTGTGTGTACAAGTGCTGTGTGTGTGTACGTGTGCATGCACATGTGTGTGTGCAGGCCCACATGCATACAAGGATAGAAATGACCAGGGACATTTTAATCCATTGTTAATTAGCAATTATCTCTGAGTGGTAGCACTGGGAATGGGGGTTATTTTTATTTTCATTTGCTAATTTACTTGTGTAAGTACCAAAATTCATTGTCTGACAAAGAGCCCCAAGGCTCAAAGTGGGGATGGGGGGAGAGGACCAGCTCTGGACGGGGTATCTCGGCCACTGGGAGGAACAGCTGCTGACCTGGGGATGTTACCCTTCCCACCCCTCCTGCCTGGCCAGGGTCTCAGTTTTCTGTAACCCAGTGGGGGTTATATTTGCCTTTCTAGACACTTCTTTTCAGCCCTGAATCTACTGTGCTAGATGGCCGCAAAGGCACTCCTGACCCATTCTGTTGGTGACAATAACAAGGGCTCTAGTCTTGGGGCAGTGGGACTGTCACAAGTCTGGGGGGTGAGTGGCCGCACAGCCCCCAGAGGGTGGGTGCTTGGAGGCTTAGAAGGGGAGTGTGAAGTCGTGGGCCCGCTGTGCTCTTGGGTGACAAGGTGGCCCCTCTGAGCCTCCTGGAGCTCTTCTGTGCCATAGGAGGCCCCTAGCACCTGCGTCCATGGCTGCAGAGGGGCACGCGGGCGGCCTGAGTGCAGCCCTAGGCGCGGGAGGCCCTGGGAAACTCACTGTGGCTGCCGTTCCTACGTCTGGGTTTGTCTGCTGGGCCGCCAGCAGAGTACCACACATGGGTGGTTTAAACCCCAGAAATGTGTTCCTCACAGTCTGGAGGCCAGACGTCCAAGACCAGGGGTCAGGAGAGTAGGTTTTTAATTAGGCCTCTCTCCTGCTGTGTAGATGGCTGTGTTCCCTGCGTCCTCACATGGTTGTCCTTCTGCGTGTCTGTTGCCCAGTCCCCTCTTCTTATAAGGACACCAGTCAGATTGGATCACAACCCACCCCAAGAACTTCATTTTATCTTAATCACCTTTGTAAAGGACCCTTCTCCAAATACGGCCGCATTCTGAGGCGCTGAGAGTTAGAGCCTTGAAATACGGACTTCTGGGGACACAATGCAGTCCGTAATGCCGTCATTGCCATGAACAACAATAACTACGACTATTGTCACTTAAACGAGTTAATGTCTGTAAGGCGCTAGGCACAGGGCCCAGCAAGGTTGGTGCTCCACAGGTGGTGGCTGCTGCTGTTGACATAATTGGTCACTAAATATGAATTGTTATTTTTTAAACCAACTGGTGCTTGTAAAGTGCCTAGGTGCTGTAGTGACTGTGCAGTGAGCAGTGACACTGGTGTCTGCTGTCACGGTCACTTTAATGGGACAGTAAGTGGTACAGCTGGGCTCCAGGGCTAGGTCTCCATCCCCACAAAGCTTGGGTCCTTTCCGGGGAAGCCATCTGCTCAGTGCTGAAAACCAGCTGTGGTGGGTCCCTCCTTCCCCCAGGCAGTTCTAGGCACAGCCAAGGGCTTCATCCCTTGGTCACATCAGGGGGCGTCCCTCCCCTCAGGCTGACCCTGAGCACCAGGTTGCCAAGGAATGGCCCAGAATGTCGGTGGGCAATGAAGTTTACCCCAGCTGCATGTGCCTACCACCGAAGTAGAAGTTGCCCACCAGCCACGTGGGCGTCCCACTGAGGCAGGCTGCAATTGGATGCACTGTCTCAGTTTAAAGAAACTTCTTGTTCAGCAAATCCAGACGCAGAAGCTGCACCCCAGCTTTAAGCAGAAGCCTTTGCAGACCGGTTTGATCCCGTCTCCCGAATCTCAGCTGCCGGTTCTTAGTCTGACACGTGGAGGGGCTTTGATACACGGGGCCCAGAGGAGCACACCTGCTGCCTCCCCCAAGCTGACAGCGTCGCCACCCCCGCCCCTCAGATGCAGCTCAGAGCAGAGCAGACTTGAGTGCGTCACCGTCCAGGGGCAGGTGCTTCCAGCTCCAACACGGGCGGCCAGCACCCAGCCTGGCCACAGGCCAGAGCGCCTGGCTGTGCCCCTCAGAGCAGCACCAGTCAGCAGTGCACATCCGCGGGCGTCCATTCCCCGGGAGGTGCGGGTCTGGTGAAGCAAGCCCTCTCGTCTCAGGGCTCCTGGCCTGCTCTTCCTTTCATCTCTCTGCTGGCGTCATTGTCACCCCACTGTGTGTCTGGTTCCTTGCTCAGTGCCGGGCACACACAGGACCTCAGGAGGGTGGTGCCCCCCCTGACGCCAGCCCGGCGTGCTCCAAAGGATGTGGCACCCTGCCCACTGAGGGATGGTTGTCCTCAAATGCAGTGCCCCCGTCCGCCCACTGCCCTGTCAGCAAGAGATGCGCCCCCGATATCTGGGGATGGAACGGAATCCATCCACGGTGGGCTGGGAGCTCCTGGTGAGTGGGGGCCTGCCTCGTGCAGCTTAGTATCCTTAGTATCCAGCATAAAACGTGCACTAGGAGGTGCCCAACAAATCGTGGGGTTTGGAAAGCAGTCTTTTTACTGCCTTTTTTACTTATTACAAAAGTACTTCACATTTATTGGGAAAAAAACAGTGATCTAAGCAGAGGAGAAAATGAATACATGTGCTATCCTTCCAGCCAGAGTAGCCGCTGTTGATAGTTTGGAGTGTGCCCCGTAGGTCTCTTCCCTGTGTGTATATTTTTTAACAAAATGAAGTCACACTGCATTGTTTTGTGACCTTTGTCACCATGACAATAAAGCAGCAGTGGGCCGAGCATAGGAACAGCATTGTTTGACTGCAACAGGTCGTCATTGGCAGGATTATACTGTAACTGTAGCGTCATATGTGGCCACATTATTGTTATTATTTATTATGCTGGACTGAGTATAGGAGAGAGAAAAGCAGGAGGGGACATGTACACAGGTAGTCAGCGGCCTTCTGCCGGTTGGAGAGCACAGCCTGTTGTCCCGGCAACCACCCCAGGGAGGTGGCATGGGAGGAAGTGGATCTGTGAGCCGTGCCAAAGGGACAGATGTGAGAAGCCCGAAACAGGGCCACTTAGGCGCCTGTGTGGGGTGGGCGCAGGCCTCTTTCTGCAGCAGCAGCAGCCGGCATCGCCAGGCTGCCTACCTGACCCCCGCTGTCAGGGCGTAACCCAGGGCAGGGCCAGCCCTGCTGACCCGTGCGCTGGGGGGCTGAGAATGCGGCGGGCAGGTGGGTGCTGTGACCACAGTGAGGCTGGTGACCTGTGGCCTCAAGCCTCTGCAACCCTACATCCCAGCGTCACCTTATGGGGCCCTTCACGTGATCTGCATGAAATCCTGCAGGTGGGCAAGCAGGTGGCCTTCCCGTTTTACAGGAGGGGAGGGAGGCCCAGAGGGTCCACCTAACTTGGCAAAGGCCTGATTGATTTTAATTCAACTGGTCAAGTGCGCTCCAAGGACCATGGCTGTGCTGAGCGTGGTGTTAGGCAGAGGGACTCCATGAAGATCAAACGGGGTCCCAGACTGCAAGAGCTGCCAGTCCAGGGGCAGGGGAGACGTGGGCCACGATCGGCACATGTGCTTTACGTACAGGAGAGAAGCAGCCCGCCCGGATGGTAGGGGTGAAGCAGGGACATCTGGAAAGGGGGCCTGGGCTGAGTCTGGAAGGACAGAGGATGAGCCAGGCAAAGAGGCCTGGGAAGGGCATGTGTGAAACCCTCGGGCTCTGCATGACTGGGAAGCTATAAGGAGTTCGGCGTGGCAGGTGGCATGGTAGAGGGGGGGACTAGGATAGCAGATGCACGGGGGCCAAATCCCCAGGGCTGACGTTCAGATTTCCCCTGAAGGCAGAGAGAAGCAGCTCAAAAATTCTGACCAGTGGGCCATCATGGCAGACTTGGGATTCAACCATGGCCCAGGGTTTCAAAGACAGCAGCTACAGGTCTGAGGCATCAGGCACTCACTCTCTCAACCTAGATCGCAAATAGCAGGGTTCGCCCCATGAGCACCCAGTGACTGAGAGCCTTGAAGTTGGGTGATAAGGCAAAGTTTCCTAGAAGAGGCAGGCTGGGGCTGCTGGGCCCTGGAGGATGCAGGAAAGCTGGAGTGTGGGGGCTGAGCCTGGCACACTTGGGGCACAGGGAGGAGACACCTTAGGGTGAACAGGCTGAGGACATCAAGGCTAAGTTTGGGCTTGCATGTCTCATCCCAGAAGGGGCTGTTGGAAGGTTTGAGCTGGAGCCACATGGCCCTGGCAGAGAGGAGAGGGTGGTGGGGAGCTTGGTCTGGAGTCAGAGAAGATAGCCTGGGGCTCTTCCTACCCTGTGTACCCCCTCTCTGTGTGACTCTGAGCAAATTCCCCACCCTCTCTGGGCTCTGGTTTGTCGGTAAAGTGGAGTTCCTGTGAATGCCCCCTTCCCGGGCTCACTGTGAGTGCTGGTGAGCAGGTAATAAAGGGCTCAGCCCCGCACTGTCCCAGGAAAGAGCTCACATCATGTCTGCAGCTGCAGCTGGTGAAGTTTGCCAACAGACAGTGCTGGCAGGAAGGCCCCAGGAGGCGGTTTCGTGATCTAGATGTTGGCAGTGAAGGCCTGAACCGTGCCATGTGGGGCTGCAAAGAGCCAGCCAGAGAGGAGGGCAGGGCCCACACTGACCCTGGCCCAATGATGCGGGAGTTGGGTTCAGATGAGGGGCTCCAGGCCTGGGCTGGAGCCGGGTGAGGCGGCCGGCATGATTGACCTGGGCTGGCAATGCCAGCCTGAGATTGCTGCTCAGAGGGGCACATGGAGGGGAAAGGAGGTGCCATGCGTGTCCACTCCAGGAAGGACAGGAGCCTTGGCATCCACCCTGCCAGGAGCTGTTGTACTTGGTGCTGGGGATGCACTTGTGTGTGGTCCCTGGAGATCCTAGACTGGGCCACCCAGTGCAGCCCAAGCAGGCACTGAGGCTGGTACTGGGGGATGGACCTCGTCTCCACTGTGCCAGCTGAGAGCTGCGTGGGTGGTTCCCCCCAGGCTCCAGTTTGGCTGCGAGGCTCTGGGGCCTGTCTGAGCCACCACTGCCCACAGGTAGGCCCTGAGGCTGCAGTGGAGGGGCTGGTGGGGCAGCGCAGGTAAGGCAGGGGAGCTGGTGGCCAGGCGGGCCTCACCTGAGCCGGTGCAGTGCTCCCTGTGCCGAAGCATCACACGAGTGAGCTTTCTGGTGCCCAGGAGTCCTGTGTCCCTCCTTGGTCACCTTCCAGTAGACCTGCCAAACATCAGGTGCTTCTCTGCCATATTGGAAGTGCTCAAAAGTGCTGAAGTGTGTGTGTGAGCATGTGTGCCAGTGTGTGGGTATGGGTGTGTGTGAGCATGTACCAGTTTGTGTGGCTGTGATTGTGTGTGTGTATGTGTGTGCCAGTACGTGGGAGTGTGTATATGTGAGCATTAGGTGTGAGTGTATAAATGTGTATGGGCAAACGTGTGGGTATAGGTGGGTGTGAGCACTAGCATGGGTGGGTGTGGGAGTGTAGGTGTGACTGTGTGTGAGAAAGAGTGGGTGGGGGGTGTAGGAGTGTGAATGTGTGTGGGGTATTCCTGCAAATGTGCACGACCAGTTGTACAAGGGTGTTTGCCAGCATGTGTTAGTGTGCAGTGGTACTTGTGAGTGTGCAAGTGTGTACACCTCCAGTCTTAAGCACCTTCTTTGTGCATACATACCCATGTGTGTATGTGAGCACATGTGTGTGTGCAGTGCATGTGTGTATATTGGGCATCGCATGTATGCACACCTGTATGTATGCCCTGTGCGTGCATTTGTATGTGTGCATGTGTATGCCATTTACATGTGTGTGCATTTAGTGTAAATGGACACGTGTGTTTTATGTGTTTGTATACAGTATATATTTGTGTGCATCCATGTGTAAATTTGTATGCATACATATGTATGCATGTGTTTTATATGCGTGAGCACATGAATTTGTGTGTGTACACATGTAGGTATTTGTGTTTGCATGTGTATATGTATGGGTATAGTTGCATGTGTTGTGTGTTTACATGTATTCACAATGGTTGTGTTGTGCTTATGTGTATGCATACATGTATGTATATGAGTATGTTTAGGCATGCGTTTGTATCCATGCATTTGCATGCATGTGTGCCTGTGTATGCAAATGTGTGTATGCATGCGTGTGTGTGTGTTTGTATGTACACATAAATACGTGTGTGTGTTTATGCCACAAGCTGAGTGTCACCATGCCAACTCTGTGCCCAGCCCTTCACAGGCTCCCGCTCTGTGACCCCAGAGCCAGCCTCTGTGACCATTCCCCTCCCTCTGTAGAGAGGGAGGTCAAAGCTCAGGGCAGACACGGCCTCAGGACCACGTGGCTGTTCCGTGGCCGCCCCACAGGACTATGCCTGTCTGACCACGAGGCACCCCTGCCCCCAGGCCTTCGCCCCCTTCTCTCTGCCTTGCTCAGACTTGGCTCCCGGGTGCTACGACTCCACCTCCCTCCACAGGGCCCCCCGGGTGCCTTCTGCCGCTGGGTCTGGGGCCGCTGTGGCGGGGGTGTGGGTCTAACAGACTCTGCTGCTCTCCCCTCCCAGGCGAAGCTGGGCGATGAGGTCCTCGACTACAGAGACTTGGCTGCCCTTCCTAAAAGCAAGGCCATCTATAACATCGACCGCCCCGACATGATCTCCTACTCGCCCTACGTCAGCCACTCGGCGGCAGACAGGCAGAGCTGCAGCGAGGTATGGCCTGCCTGCGGCCCCAGAGCACTGCCCCAGGGTGGGTGGCATGCCTGCCACACGGGTCCTGCTCACTTCCAGCCTGTCTGGGACCCTCGGCCACCTTTCCTCCCCTCAGATAACCTTCTGCACGCCCCCTTTAGGGCCCGCTCTGGCCCAGCCCTCGCAGGTAGCAGGCCATGCGGGAGGATGTGTGCTGTGCACAGTGGCTCAGCACAGGCACTCCCCTAGGGTAGGACTCCTCCCTTCACACCCCTGCCCCTGGGCCATCCTGCTTGATTCTCCAGAAGTGAGGCTGAGCCGAGGGCCCCTTGCTCCAGGCGGGGTGTGGGCAAGCCCCCCTGGCTCGGCTGACCTGCGACCCCCATTGCAGGCACAGCTACAGAGCCCAAGGGCAGGGCAAGGAAGGGGGGAAGGGCCCTGCATCCCCTGCTCAGCAGCCAGCAAGCTGCTTCCTTCACCCCACTCAGGTTTCTTCTAACACATGGAGCCGGATCTAGAGGGCTGGCCAGGTTCCCCCTCCGCCCCGGTATTCCTGGCTATGGGCCAGCCACCCTGGAAGGAGCCCGTGATTACCTGTGCAGACTGGCTTGTGGGGATTGTGTGCAGGGCCTCTGTGAATGTCACTGGCCCTGGGCTGGGAAGGGCCATGTGTACCTGGGGGTGCATGGTGTTGCCACCCTCGGTCCTGCTTCCATGCTCACGTGGATGTCAGCCAGCACGTGAACACGGCGCAGCGTGGCACACCCATGGGCGGAGCCTGAGCTGGGTCTCCAAGGCCACACCCCTCCAATGGTGCATCGTTTGTGTACCGCAGTCGATTCCTGTCCCGCGGGAGGTGTGGTGGGAAGTGAGGGCTGTGTGTTCCTGGTCAGTGCCCACTCTGAGACCTCCTGCCTAGGCACAGGGCAGCCCAGGGCACAGAGATTCTCAGCGGTCACCTTGCAGAGCTGATGAGTGTCAAGGGGGTCTTGGTCCCCAGCCATCCCTCAGGCCTGCCCTCAGGACTTTGTTTGCCCATGTCTGGTGGCCGCAGGCTGGGAGTGGTTGTCCCAGGACACAGGTGAGAAGGCACGGCTGGGAGGCCATGCGGGGCCCAGAGCTGTGCACCTCCCCGGGCAGAGCTGGGACTGGCCAGGTGGCTGTCCCTGGTCATGGCTGCCTCCATGCCAGCTCCTGCCACGCCCCAGAGGTCCTCTTCTGCCCACATCTCACGGGATCCCGAGGGCTCTCCCCTCCCCAGGCCCCGCCACACCCAGCGGGAGCCTGTTTGGTGGCGGTCTCCGTGGGGGCCTTCTGTGGGCAAGGGGAGCAGGGACTGGGAAGTGCCAGGATGGTGGGCCAGGGCACTGAGCTGGCAGACGCTGGCCTCAGGCTGGACACTGCCACCTGCTTCTCAGGACCACGGCCTTCCAGCGATTTACCCCCAGTGATGGAATCTAGCAGAGAAAAGAGCAGGTGCTGGAGGCACAGAGGTGTGGCTTCACCTTTCTGAGCCTCAGTGTCCCCTTCTGTGACATGGGGGACACCTTCTCCTTTCCATTCTCAGGAGAGGGAGATGAGCATGAGAAAGCTTCCTGGTCCCCCAGGCTCCTCCGGACCCTTCCCAGCATCCACGTACCTGTCGGGGTGTGGGGGGCAGACAGGCTCGGTCTCCAGAGCCCCTTCGCCAGCAATGGCTCCGCTGAGTCTTGGCGATATGTCTGCGGGGGGCGCTGTAACAGGAGGTGCATGGCTTGAGAGGCAGGTCACCGCTCCCCAGGCCCCAATGCCAGCCCCGGCAGAGCTAGCCCTCACCCCAAACCCAAGGCCCTCTTGCCCTGGGACCCTTCCCTGTCTCTCCCAGGGAAAGCTGGGGTAGTGGGCTTGCAGGATGTCACCCCCCCACGCGCTGACTGACCCTCTTCCTCTTGGAAAAACACCTTCATGGGAGAGCAGGAGGCGTCGGGGTGGGCCACCCGCAGTCAGGCCCTGAAGCTGTCCGGAGCCTCTTTCTCGGGTGCCAGTGGCCATCTTTCTCCAAGAAGAGGCCTTCAGCATCCTGTGTCCGATTTGGGGGAGGCCCTGCCACGTGTGTGGGCCCAGCACGTCTCTTCTCCCGCCGTAGTGCCCAGCACTAACGGGCCCCTCTGTGTTGTGTCCACAGTCCCCTCGGTTGTTCTCGCCAACGCCGACTGAGGTAACCACCATGCCCCCTGGCCCCCACCCACTCCTGTTTGCTCATGGTGCTGCCCCCTGGGTTATAAAAATAATCACCAGGCACCCCAGCAGGGCCTTGTGACACTTAACCATGGGGTCTGGGGCCACAGGCCCCTGGGGCTTGGGGTGTGCTTCTCTGAGTTGGTTATTTTTATAATCGTGTCTCATCTGCATGCTTCCTTAGTGCATCTACCGGCCTGCAGTTGTGAACCCCTGGGATGCAGGTCTCTGGAGGTCTGGGTCATGGCTTCCTTTAGAGAAAGGATCAAAGAGCCTGGGTTAACCTGGGCCCACCTTGTATACCTCCAAGCAGGACGTATGGGGAGCACCTGCTCCTTGTGGATAAACACGCCCAAAACATTTCTCCATCAGGTAGCATTAATAATTAGCAGTCTGCTCTTTTTCCTACTTGTCAGACTTTATCAGTGATGTAGACAGCTGCCCATCAGACTCCAGGAACAACCAGATGGGGCAAGTGGCCCACTAGCGCTGAGCTTCTAAGCCTGCACGTGGCTGGGAGCCCTACAGACAGGCTGAGTGAGAAGACAGGACACCTGTCGGGTGTAAACTGGCCAGCGGGGCTGTGCAAGGACACCTAGAGATGGAGACTGGACAGCCACCCCTAGAGAGAGCGTGCCCATCCCTGTGGGTGGCGTAGGCCAGAGGGGCTTGGGGACCTGGCAGCTGTGACATCAGCAGGTGGGCTGCCCTGAGCAAAGTGCGGTGTGGTGCACAGGCGGGCTTTAAGGACAGTGGCTCCGCCAGCGCGGCTGAGGAGCAAGCCCTAGGAGACGGAGGGGAAGCCCAGACAGCCGCGGAGCCATGAACACCAGGCCCAGACTCTCGCACTTCCAGCCCCCAGGCTGGCCTTGGGGTCAGAGCAGCAGTGTCCGCCCCCCAGCGGGATGCTGGGCTGGGCTCTGTCACAACACAGGCCAGCTTGCCAAACTGGGGCAGGCCTGGCAGCCTGCTATCCCCCATGCCGTGGAGCTGTGCCATCTCATGCCACCTGCTGCCTGCTCTGACCGCTCCAAGCAGCCGCCCATCCTGCTTGAATGGAGTCCGTGTTGTCACTGCTGTGGGTCTGACTCACCTGGGCTTCCAGGCCTGGGAGGGGGGCCTTCCTACCTCCCATACCTGGGATCCCTGATGGAGGCTGGGGGAGAGTGCAGAATCTCAGTGGTTCTCAGACTGTGTCACAAGGAGCCCTGGGCCGGGAAGGCTTGGGCAGGAGTGGATCGAAGGAGGGGCCGATGGGGGGGGTGCGGCAGGAACACTGCCTGGGTACCCGGCAGGCGTGGGGACCATGCTCTGGCCAGGGGGTGTCAGCACCAGGCCAGGCCCCATCTGGCTCCTCAGATGTGCCCTGGCATGGGCGGGGGGTTTCATGACGGGGCATGTTGAGTGAGCCTTGGGTCAGGGGAGCAGATGCCGAGTGGAGGCTGGGGGGTGGGCACTGCTCCCGCTCGGCGTTCATCAGGCCGTCTTCCTCCCAGGGGGACCAGGATGACCGCTCCTGCAAGCAGTGCCGGACCTCCAGCCCCAGCTCCACCGGGTCGGTCAGCCTCGGCCGGTACACCCCGACCTCACGGTCGCCGCAGCACTACAGCCGTCCAGGTACTTAGCCTCCAGGCTTCTCTTCCCCGAAAGCTGTATTTCTTGTTGATTTCCTCTTATGAATCTGTGTCTTATCCATCCAACTAGAAAAATGACTGACGGGGGTGGGATTGCCAGTGGGTGATGGGGAGCCTGTCTGCTTAGGGACACAGGGACAGGCCCGTTCATGTCTGGTGGGCTGGTTAACTGCAGAGGCGGCCGGCTTGTCTGTTGGGTAGAGGGGCCTCCTGAGAACCCAGGGCAGCATGGTGCTCAGATCTGGGTCATGTTTCAGCGGCGAGAGAGGCCAGGATGAGAGAAGAGGAAAATGGCAGGAGACCAGCAGCCAGTCAGGTCCCAGCTGGCGGGGCCCGGGAAGCTTTGAACAGTGAAGCCAAAACCTATGGCCAAAAAAGAGTCAGAATGTCATTGTCACTCCACCTGTAGCTGGGTGGGTGGCCCCAAAGACAGCCGGCCCTACGCAAACAGCGGTGCAAGGCCCCTGCCCGCCCCTCCCAGCAGGGCACAGCCCCAGGGGGCCTCTCTGCCCTGTTCCTCCTTGTCCCGCCTGGCACGCAGCTGCGTAGCGCACTCCCTTAGCTTGTGGAACTCCTTGGTGCCCTCGGTGTGTCAGAGCCATGGGGCTGTCCCACACAGACGCGGCCTTTCAGAGGGACTCTTCCAAGCTGCCCTCCCTCCGGCCACCGCATGCTTCCATTTCACATCCACAGACCCCAGCTCCTACGTCTGCAGGCTTTGTGGGAAAATCAAGGCTTGTTTGATTGAAAAGTCATTTTCATTGACTCCCTGCAATGCACCTGGTGCATCCTGCTCAACAGGTGTTTGGAAAGTGGAGGGGTGAGTGGAGTGGGTGAGTGAGTGGGTGAGCGAGTGAGTGAGCGAGTGGGTGGGTGAGTGGGTGAGCGAGTGGGTGAGTGAGTGAGTGGGTGAGCGAGTGAGTGAGTGAGTCGGTGAGTGAGTGAGCGGGTGAGCGGGCGGGTGAGTGAGTGAGCGGTGGGTGAGTGAGCAGTGGGTGGGTGAGTGAGTGGGTGGGTGAGCGGTGGGTGAGTGAGTGGGTGAGTGAGTGGGTGAGTGAGTGGGTGGGTGAGTGAGTGGGTGAGCGAGTGAGTGAGTGAGTCGGTGAGTGAGTGAGCGGGTGAGCGGGCGGGTGAGTGAGTGAGCGGTGGGTGGGTGAGTGAGTGGGCAGGTGAGTGAGTGGTGGGTGGGTGAGTGAGCAGGCGGGTGAGTGAGTGAGCAGTGGGTGAGTGAGCGGGCGGGTGAGCGAGTAGTGAGCAAGGCAAGCAGGTGGCCGAGCGAGTCGGGAGGAAGGAGGTCAGCCCCACGCGTGCCCTCCCAGGGCCCCTTCCTTGGGCTCTGACCACTGCATCTGGGTCCCCTGGGCTTGTCCACCTGGCCAGCTCCTCTTCTCCTGGCTCCTTGATCCCAGGAAGCTCCCCGCATGCCCTGGACAGGGCTTAGGGGGCCAGCGATTGCCGCCCAGACAGGTGGACTGCCACCCTGTCCCCCGAGGGCCCGGCGTCCTTGCCCTGAGCCTGGAGCAGACGGGTTGGTGCATGTCTGGTGACACCTCTCCAGGTGCCTCAGAAAGGGGCGCCTTCCCCGAGAGGGGAAGCAGAAATGTTCCTAGCAGAGTGGGGCCTAGGAATGTTTTGTGGCTCTGTGGCCAGTCTGCCACGTGGGCAGACTCTGACGTGCTCTCTGTTGCCCCGCAGCTGGTACTGTGAGTGTTGGTACCAGTAGCTGCCTGTCCCTGTCCCAACACCCAAGCCCTACATCCGTGTTCAGACATCATTACATCCCCTACTTCCGAGGTAAGGCATGCAGTGCTGTGGGCTGCGGTGCTCGCAGGGCATCCAGCTGCGCGTCTGTGTCTTGCTGTCCTGTGTCGGCCGCATGGCTTCCCCGAGCCCCATGTCTTATGCCCATGCCCCTTGCTGTGTGTCTTGTGAGCCCAGCCCTTCTGTTGATGTGTAAATGTTCCTGGGAGGAAAACTTAGTGACCCTTTCTGTAAAGGAGTGAGCAGCCAGGAGAGGGGTTCACCCAACACCCACCCTTGGGCTTTGTTCCGAGTACCTTTCCTAAGTCATCATGTTGTACTTCCCACGTGAGCTCTGTGGGGTGCAGGGCCTGCTGGCAGCCATTATTGGAAGTAAGCTAAGGCCCAGAGGAGGCCAGGACCTGCCCAGGGCCTCAGGCCCATGGTGGCAGGGGCAGGAAGCACACTGTACGTGGTTCCCACTCCTGCCTCCTCCCAGCATGCAGACCTGCCCACCACCCGCAGCCGTGCACACGTGTGTGCGGGGAATCGCACCAGGAGAGCAGCCAAGCCCGTTTTCCCGTGTGCTACGTTCTGAGTCGTGTCCCCCAGAGGTCCTACGTTGAAGCTCTGACCACCAGTGTGGCTATTTGGAGACAGGGCCTGTAGGTTATTAGTTACATGAAATCATAAAGGTGGGTCCTGACCTGGAAAGATTGGTGGCCTTATAGGAAGAGGGAAAGACAGCAGAAGATCCCCGTGTGCGCTCTCAAAGGGGAGGCCGCGCGAGGCCGGGGCAGCTGTTCGCAAGCCGGGAGGAGGGTCCTGCCAGAGACCGAACCCTGCCAGACCCGGTCGTGGACTTGCGGCCTCCAGAACTGTGAGGGGCAGGTCTCTGTGTTTAGGCCCCCATCTGCCGTCCTTGTTACGTGGCCCTAGCTGACTGACACAGCACAGAAAGACAGCTGGGCATCAGAGGGGGCAGTGGTGATGTTCTTGCTGATCCCCAGCAAGATGCAGTCAGTTCTCTGTTCCTTACAATGGCTAAGGGAGGACGTCTTGGAAGAAGCTTCCAGCCCAAGGGGACCAGGCGGGGCAAGCTCAGCTGGGCTATCCCAGCCTTCCGTAGTCCCCAGCAAGGCCGCTGGGACTGGTACGTCTCTCTCATGCATGTCACCATCACCTGGCTGGCTGTGCCGTGCCTGTCAGTGCACGAGGGGGGTCCCCCGATTGACAGGACCTCGTTCCTCGCCTCTCCATGGACCTGCCCTTATAGTTCATGTCTCTTCCTGACGTACTGATCTTTGGAAAAGCAGCGGAACCCAAGGTCGGGGAGCAGCCGGCAGGGCCTTGCACACACCTGCGGGCACATGGGCATCATGTGGCCTGGTGAGCCCTCACCTGGGGCAGGGCGGAAGACTCACCACAAGGTGGAGCGGGAGTCCCAGCAGGTCACTGAGGGGGCTGACCTCCTGCCGCCAGGACCCTGCTTTGGGAGGCTGTCGGGCCTGGGTTCTCTGGTGGAGACAGGGGGGGAACACCACGGTGCTACTATCTACCCTCACCCCCCAGAGGGCCTGGGCAATCTGGGCCGACTGCGTAGGGAGCCCTCTCAGCCGAGACCAGCCCAGGCTGGGGCCTGGGGCAGAGCAGACCCCGGGACCCTCTTCTTCTCTGTCCATCTGAGTCTCCGCCCTCCACTCCCAGGGGACTCAAGGCCAGGGCAGGTCCTCAGTCAAGGGCCAGGCCTTGGGTGGTGGCCTCAGGCCTGCAGCATGCCTGCTCCAGGGCAGCCAGCGGAGGGAGCCAAGGGAAAGGCCGCCTGCTGCCCTTGTGCAGGAGGCGTGGCCCCTTCCCATGTGAGGGAGGACCCTAAAGACAGGCTGCATCCCCCTGCCAAAATGGGGTTTAGAAACTGTTGTAGCCTGTCATCGGGCACCCCCGGGGCAGGGGCCCAGTGCCCAGTGTGATCTCCTGGGTGGATACGAGCTCTGGCCAACCACTTTGATGTTTCACATGCCCTTGTCCCTGCCTGCACTTTAGCGACCAGTTAGACAAAGACCCCCCATCCTCCTCTCTGGTGACAGATGCAGGGGACCCCAGCTCCCCCACTCTTCCCCCCTGGCTGACTTCCAGGGCCATTGGTGACCTTGCAAGCACCCAGCCTCTTTCCAGAACCCCCCGAGAGGAGACCCAGGCTCAGAGGGGGTGCTGGCCTGAGGTGGCAAGGCTCCATGGGGCAGAGCCGAGTCGGGCCTCGTTCATGGGCCACAACACTGGGCCCTGGGTCCCCTCAAGGCCACAGCAAGGGAGCCCCTTCATCTGGCCCTAATGTCTCAGGGTGGTTGTGGCTGGTGGCTCGGGTGGCATGGGGCAGTGAGTGGCACAGGTGAAACTAGTGGACATCTCGGTCGTCATCCTAACAGGCCCTTGCCCAGGGCTGAGAGCCGGCCCTGCTTCCCGGCACCACAGAAAGACCCAGCAGGGGGAGTGCCCCCCAAGGCAGAGCGGGCAGCGGAACAGTAACATGAGCAACGTGGTACCGACTGTAAACCAGAGCATAAAACAAACCCCAGTTCATGCTGATCCCAGTAAGCGAGCAGATAAACAAGCGGGCGAAGTGACGAAGCTCCCACAGAGAGGAGATCCCAGTGACTTGCGCAGGTCCTCTGTCCCCGAGGAGGGAAGCCTACCTCCCCTCGAAGGCCTGGGCTGGGCGGGCAGCGCCCCCCGAGGAGGCCAGCATGGGAGGCGAAGGAGGGGCCTCACGGGGGAGAAATCTGGCAAACGGGACTCCGGCCAGGGAGTCGAGGCCGGCAGCACGGCGGCAGGCCGTGTGATGACCAGTGCCCATGCTGTGCCCAGAGAAGGACACTCACCTCTGTGCTCATCCTCCCAAGAGCCCGTGATTCCTGTCTGACCTCGAGATGTGTTCGGACAAACCCCAGCGTGGGGACATCCTACTGGGCACCTGACAGACCCTCAGACCCTGCCAGGGTCATGCAGAGCAAGGGCCGGCTGAGGGGCCCCCAGCCCAGAGGGCCTGGGGACACGTGGCGGCTGGATGGTGTCCTGGACAGGAGCAGGACGGAAAAGGTCATCAGGCAAAATGAAATCCAAATCTGGTGTGGCATCGAGGTCCTACCAGCATGGGATGCAGTGTGGCCGTGGAGCGTCCCACGGGGGAAGCTCTGCACTGCCTAAAAGGAGCCAGTCATCTAACTGTTAGCAGGAAGCCTTTATAAAGGCTGAGGGCTTCCCATGCACTCTCTCAGTGAAGGAGGCTGGAAGCTCCTTTCCCCAGGGAGGCCGGAGGCTGACCTCCAACCCAGACGGCCTCCCGGAAAAGCACAAGCCTCATGAGCAGGGCCTCTGTGCCTTTTCGGGGTCATCCACAGACAGCCTCTCCTCTGGTTTTCTCACACCCCTGGTGACGTCAGTGGTTTGCGGCCTTTACTGCTGAGGCCCTCAGGGGACGCCGGCCCCCGGGCAGTGGCCAGGGCCTCTGGGCAGCGTGCCGAGCCTCTCCGGGGTGCTGGCCCTGTGCCTCCCAGCCCCGGCCGACCCGTAGGAGGTGGCCACAGCGGTGGAGCCCTGCAGGGCCGACGTGGGCACTCTGTGAGCCGCTGTGGGCAGGGCCCTCCAAGTGGCCTGTGAGGGGTCCGTGTTAACTGTGTGTTTTCTTATGACAAAGTGACACCGTGGACAGGCAGGGTGAGTCCAGCGAGTGAGTGGTAGTGTGGGCTGTGTCCCTCAGGAAGGCTTTTTACCTCAGCCTTGACCCAGGAGGGGTCTGGACAAGTGGGGAGGATTGGAAAGCGGGCTGCAGGTGTGGAAGGGTGGGGGCTGGAGGAAGAATGTGAGCAGGGGAGTTTGGGGCTGGGACTAAGGTGATTAAGTCACAGGCACACGCACACAGAGTCTTGCCTGTGATGCAGGAGGACATTGCTCCTTCGGCTCGGGGTCAGTGGGTCAGGAGTTCTGCAGCGTGTTCAACAGAAGTTGCAGGCCCCTGGGTGGAAGCCAGGTGGATGAGAGCCAGTGAATTCTAGGCAGAAAGAAATGAGCTGCTTGCTACCTCTCGGACCCATGGGCTGTGCCGAGAGCACCCTGACATAGTGATGATGCCCCAAGTGCGCGGCCCTAGACTGTTCTAGAGTTGGTATGGATGCATTTTTTTAAAGCCCTTCTTCTGGCATGGAATTCCTGAAAGCTCTCTGCTACACTGGAAGGCTGTCAAAGGGAAAAGCAGGGTTCACGCGGTGAGGGTGACAGTCCCCTACCTGCAGGTCCTTCAGTGCCGACAGGTGACCTGGGCCCTGGGCTTAGGAAGATGCTGGAGTCAGCAGCCCCTCTGTGGCCTCAGCCCGGTGCGGGCTATAAGAGCTGAGCCCACCAGCGCTCTGGCCCACGTCTCCGACACCTTCCTCATCAGCCCACCCTGCAGTCCCTGGCTGGTCCACTTCCAGGCCCAGCTCCATGCTCTCCCACTGGGGACATGCTGTCTCATTACTGTCACCTCAGGGGGGCTGCTGTGGGCAGCTGCATCTCAGAGGGGGTCATCCTGAGTCAGGAGAGCCCATTTTCCTTTGTCAAGTGGCACCTAAGTGGGGGGCTTCCCGAAGCTAACAGGAGAGGAAATGCCCACACCTGAGGTGTGTCTTGCGAAAATGAGCTGTGTCACATCACCCAAACTGTCCGGTGCCCATTGCATCCTGTGTGTATCATTCCTTAGGTGGGTGTGTGGGGGCTGGGGAGGCCACTGGGTACCCACAGCCATCGAAATCCGTGACTTGCTAATCCAACCTTGTTTGCAAAACAGAAATTATAAATCCAGATGGGAAAAGGAATTGAAGCCAGAACCAGAGGATTTTCTTTAGCTTGCCAAATAAAAAGCTTTATTCAGGAACGTGGCAGCTGACTGACACTGACTTTCTCTTATTCTGTAGTTTGTAAAATTTTATTCCATGGCTTTTAAGAACAGTTTTGATGAATTCTGGCACTTGAATCCTATTCTCAGTGGGTATTTGTGGGTTTTCTAAGAAAGCAGAATCTTTTTATCAAGAATACTCAGGAAGCAAGGCCTTAGTTTTGGTGGCTTTGTGTTTTGCCAGGGCAGAGCAGCAGACCAGCTCTGCACCCCCGGGAGAGGGGGGCTCGCCCAGAGGGCCTGGCCAGCCTTCCTCACACGTGCCCGGAGCTGGCAAGCATTTCACTCTCGGCACTGCCCTTCTTTGCCACGGGGCATGGGAAGGGTTCACACGAGGTTGGATTCCCAAGTCATAGGGCTCAGTTGGAAAAGTCCGTGGAGGCCACAGTCCCTTCCCTGGGCAGCGGGGCTGGGGGGCTCCCCCAGGCGGGGAGATGGGCTCCCTGGGAATAGCTTTCATGCTTGAAATACTCTGCTTTCCCCTTCCCCCTTCTCTCTGCTCTGTGCTCTTCCGTCTGGAGGCAGTGAAAGTGGCCGGAGCACCCCCAGCCTCTCCGTGCTCTCTGACAGCAAGCCGCCCCCCTCCACCTACCAGCAGGCTCCTCGCCACTTCCATGTCCCAGGTAGGCACCTGAGTGCGCAGAGAGGCTGCCTTGCCTGGGCGGGGGTGGCATGAATCCTGAGCCTCTCCATTCCCCCGCCACTCCCCCTTGCAAACCCTGAGATTCTTTAAAAATGATCAGGGGGGTTTGCACATCTCCGTACAGGCATGTGTTTGAGTTTCCCCCAAAGCCCCGCAGGCAGCAGAGAGACGGTTTCGCCCTCCTGGGGAAGGCTGTGCTTCCTGGAGGGGCCATCCGCCCCCTCTGTCCCCTTCCGATGGGCGTCTGTCTGTGCTGGGCCAGGCCTGGCAGAGGTGTGGTGCCTGGGCATCGGTTGCTCATGGGGTGCCAGGTCCTTTCTGGAGCTTCTAAGTCCGGGGATGGATTGCTGCTGTGAAAAAGGCTGTAGAAGGGAGGCCATCACGACGGGCTCCCTCACTCTGCTGCTCTCTCCTCTTTTTCTTTCTCCTCCCCAGACACTGGCGTAAAAGACAACATCTATAGGAAACCCCCCATCTACAAACAGCACGGTACCGTGGGACCCCCTCTGCTGCTGTGTTTTGCCTGCATGCCTGTCAATGCCGTTAGCTTCTGGACGCTTCTTCTCCTCCTTTCCCTGCGCTCTGATCGCGGCGGGGAAGGCGCCCCAGAGGCGCTGGTTCCCACACTGTGAAGGGAGCAGCCGGGCCGACGGCCGCATGGCTGGTTAGGGACAGAGGCTGCTGGACCCAGGCTGACCCGGCCTGAAGACTAGGATACAGAACAGACCAGAAGTAGTCATTGATTCCTTTGTGAGCATTTAAGCTCCGTATTTGGGGGATTTCTGTGACAGGAGGAGCCATGTGGCCTTCAGTCACACAGATTTTTTGCATTCGTAAATCGGTGCCGAGAGGGTCTCTCTGCCTGTTTCCTCTCGGAGGCGACCTCCCGCCTCTGCTGCACCCGAGTCTGCCCCGGACAGGTGCACAGGGGGCAGGGGGCTCCGCCTCCCCTCTGGTCTTTAGAGAACTTCTGGGTGATTCGGGGCATGTTGCTTCACCATCCTGAGCCTCTGTTTCCTCATCTGCAAAATAGGACCAACCCCTCCACTCTGCCTGTTTCCCTGGCTGGTTGTGAGGACCTGATGCGGCAATGAGCGTGGACACACGTTTTGAACTGTAAAGTGCTGTACACATGGTGGGGATCCCCATCAAATTGCTAGAGAAACAGGAAGAGGGATCCCCGTATTTAAAGTTCTGTGCAGATGTACCCGAAGAAAACCGCCTGGGCACTGCTCGGCGGAGTGCGGCAGAGGTGTGTCCTCTATGCCTCACTGACAGATCAGTGGTCTAGCTGTGCTGACAACAGGCTTTTTATTTTCTGCTTGATTGCAGTAGATCCTTTGCTTTGTATATTTCTTCCTCTTCCCAAGAAAGAAAAAAACTGTTAAAACTCTCAGGTTTCCAGAAGGCTCTGCCTTACCATTGCCTCTCAGCCACAGAGGCTTAGAACACAGATCTTCCTGGGGGATCAGAGAGGGGTGAGCCGGTTGGCCTCCAGGGCCCTTAGAGGTCACCCAGGACAGCTCACTTGTATTGCAAGCGGGGAAACTGAGGCCCAGCTGAGGAAGGAGCAGCATGTCAGCTCACACTCCACCCCAGCACCGTGGTCAAGCCTGCATGGAAGGCTATGTGTCCTGTGTACATCCCACACATGTGATTGACTAGCTTGGCCTTTTATTAACCTTAAACATGTCATTTACATGCAGTATAAGAGGGTCGGCCCCTTAGGAAGGGGAGAGGTAGGAAATCAGATTATGAAATTGCTCACTGGTGTGTAGCCAGATCTCAGACAAAGCGCTTCCTACGTCATGTCCTCTGACGGAATTGTCCAGTGCGTGATCGATCTCTCTGTCACCAGTGAGAATCTTGTTGCTGCTGTCGAGGATTTTAATCTGGACATGGAGTCCTTCCCTATCCAAAGGCAACTGAATTCCTTTTTGCCTGAGCCTCGAGCAGTGACCGACACCCATCTGTCATCTCCAAAATGGGGCATATTGATTTTTTTTATGAAATAAACTTTAGAGAGTACTTGCTGTCTGCCATGCATTTGGGACAATCCAGGGATAAACATGGATTATATCTGTCCCTTTGTGAATGTAGATGGGCCCTTAACTGAGGGTTCAGCATGTGGTGTGCACTGTTCTTGGCCAGATGTCCTTAGAAAACCTCAGAAAATAATGGCTGTGTTAGGACGCATGTGGTTTCCATATGTGAGATGTGTTGATTTTACAAGACATTCCCCCATCCAGGTAAAGGATATCCTGCCAGGTGTGTGTGTGTGTGTGTGTGTGTGTGTGCACATGTGTGTGTGCGTGTGCATGCACGGGTGTGTGCATTCCAACGTCACCCGTATCCCAGCAAAGTGAACATCCGCTCACCCAGTGGGAGAGAGGAGCCCGGCTCAGGCGTCAGAAGGTGGCCCCTTTATCTCCAGACTCCCCTGAAACTCCGGCAGATGGTACCAGGTTAGGGATCATTTAATCAAGCTTAATATGTTCAGTGAGTTAAAAAATTATACTTTTTAAATTAACGTATTTACTTTTAGTTCAGCATGTGGTGTGCACTGTTCTTGGCCAGATGTCCTTAGAAAACCTCAGAAAATAATGGCTGTGTTAGGACGCATGTGGTTTCCATATGTGAGATGTGTTGATTTTACAAGACATTCCCCCATCCAGGTAAAGGATATCCTGCCAGGTGTGTGTGTGTGTGTGTGTGTGTGTGTGCACATGTGTGTGTGTGTGTGTGCGTGTGCATGCACGGGTGTGTACATTCCAACGTCACCCGTATCCCAGCAAAGTGAACATCCGCTCACCCAGTGGGAGAGAGGAGCCCGGCTCAGGCGTCAGAAGGTGGCCCCTTTATCTCCAGACTCCCCTGAAACTCCGGCAGATGGTACCAGGTTAGGGATCATTTAATCAAGCTTAATATGTTCAGTGAGTTAAAAAATTATACTTTTTAAATTAACGTATTTACTTTTTAACTCTCCATTTCCAACTCATAGCAATTTTTTTAGAAATTAGCCACTTTTGGGAAATGAGCCTGCAGCCGTGAGGGCAGCCAGGGCAGCGGGGCCCGTGGTGGGCAAGCTTGGTGTTGAGGACGAAGATGGTTCGCATCCAGGATCCGTCATTGCCCCACGCGGGGTAGACGGCGGCTTGTTGCATTTGGCACACCCCGAGGCTGGCATCGTCACCGATGAGACTTCTCGGGCGAGGCCAGGAACGCAGCCAGGCAATGGCCAAGCTCACTTCACAGAAGGCCCGCCCACCTCCACCCCCAGCCTGAAGCGCCCAGTGGTGTCTTCCTGTACTGGGAGTGCCAACTCTCCTCACTTGTGAGTTCATGACTTTTAAAAATAAAGAGAAGAAATGAATGGAAAATAAAAAGAAAGGGGAGCAGTCAGGGGCCCCTTCCCTGCAGAGACAGAAGCAGGTGTGAAAAGCAGGACAGGCTGGGAGGACCCGGAAGGTTTGGGCGAGTGTTGGTGGGGCCTCGACGGCCGGAAGCGCTCAGTGTTAGACTCCATCCCTTCTGCACGGCGACCGATTCCAGCCACAGCCGCTCTGCTCCCAGCTGCAGCTGGGCAGCGAATGCTTTTCTGCTCCTCCAGGGCGTGGGGCTGAAGGCTGCCATGCTCTCGGGGTTCCGAGCGGGTCCGGCGAGGCCACACTGTTGCTTTCTGTTGGCAGAGCCTGCGAGGGAGCGGCCTGTGCACAGCCGTTACGCTGGTTAAAATGAGTTGCAGAGGAAAACATCACCTCCCCCAAATTTCCCTGGTAGATGTCCAGGTGCAGGGGCAGAACTTGTGTTTCACCAAATGTTGTTTCGTCTAAGCAGGCGTGAGCCCTCAGAGGCCATGCGAGCTGGGCACCAGCCTGGCAGGCAAGAGATGGTGTTCCTCAGCTCCCTGGGCCGTGTTGCCCACTGCAACAGGCAGACACTCGGGCCTGCCCTCTCCTTCCTAGGGCTGCCCACCCAAAGCAGACAGGACCCCGTGGGGCACCCCTCGTTGTTATTTCTTTGGTCATGGCCTAAAACGAGAATCAATCATTTCTCACTTGTCTCTCTAGGATTCCACTGTCATGTGGCTGAGTCCGTTTGGTTTTGGGGTCCTCCCCGGGGGCAGGAGGAATGGGAAGGCAGCCAGGCCCTGTGTCCAGAAAGAACGTTAGAGACCCCCAACTCTCACGGAGATGCCTCCAACCCAGTCCCCCAGGTGGGGAGTACAGGGGAGTGCAAGGCCAGTGCCCTCCAGGCTTCGGAGCAACTGCCTGGGTGAAGGAAAGACACACCTACTTGACCTCTGAGGCCAGAGAAGGGCCGAGGCCGCCCCAGGTGCAGGCAAGGCGGGAAGGGAGGCCCGCCTGCCAGAGGGCTGTGAGCCCCAGGCCCTGCTCCTTTGTGCTCGGGGGTCACTGTTAGTCCTGATATAACAAGTGAGCAGATATCGTGGCCCGTAACAGGTGAGAAAGCCCCGTGTTGAGGTGAAGAGCCTTGCGTTAATTGATCCCGGGAGGGCTTTGAGGAGCCACTGTGTGCTGGGCCCTGTCCCAGTGCTGGGGGTACGTGGGTCACCAACAGCCTTGACCCCGTGGACCTGACATTCTAGTGGACTTGCCACAGGCCAAGAAATTGGTGAGAGGCCAAGCATGGCTTAAACCCAGGTTTCCAGCTTCCAGTGGGCATGTTCTCGGTGCACACTGACATGTCCCTCACGCACACTCACACACACTCACCTGACAGCTCTGCGGGCCCAGGCACCTTTGGAGGTCAGAGCTGTCGGTGCGTTAATACCAACCAAGGAGCTGCTGGGGCCTCCCTCAGAAGCCGAGGGCCGCGCCGTGTCCGCCTCATTCGCCAGCTCTGTGTCCCTGCGGTCTGCAGGTCGCCGCCTTGGGCCCCAGAGGGGGACAAAGGCACATCGGGTGCAGGCTTTGCCCTTCCGTGTCCACTGTCAGCTCTTCCCGGGCACAGGCTTGTGCCCAGGGCATGGTGGCGGGAGGCAGTCGTGGTACAGGCCTGCGTCTCACAATCCACACATTGACAAGGAGGGTGAAGTGATGCCAGCTCAGGCTTTAGGCTCGGACCATACACGCCTCAAAGTAGCAGCTCTGTGGCCTGAGGTTCTTCATCTGGAAAATGAGGCTCATAGCATCTATTATCTATTAACACACTTAGCAGATGTTCATGGAGCCTTCCGCCCAGGGCCTGCCCGATGAGGAGTTTCAGATGCTGGGTGATCACTCGAGTGGGTATCCAGTAAGCGCTCATCACATGCGCCTTTGGGGGAGGCCCACTGTGCTGACCTTGCTGTCCTCTCAAAGCCCCTGTGATGTGTACAGAAACTATCTGATCCACCTGTCTGCCTCACTGCCCAGCCTGTGAGCTTCTGAAAGACCAATTCGTATTGTGGGATGCAGGCTTCTCTGCATCCCACACAATAGGTGTGCACACTGGGCACCAGATCATGAAAAGCCGAAAGACTAAATGGAGAAGAGAGGGTAGGTGGAGGAAGGAACAGGTGCATGAGGCTGCAAGCATGAATGGGCGCAGGGGTGCACTGGAAGGGACAGATGAACGGGTGGGTCATTGGGTGGATAGCTGGATGGATAAACGGCAAGATGAGCTGATGGCTGGATGGTGGATGGATGATGGATAAGGAAAGAAGTGGAGACATGCAGGGGTAGTTAAAGGGATGGATGAATAAATGAATGGAAATGGATAAATGGGTAAAGGAATGCATACATGAAGGCATCAATGTTCAGATACAAATGAATTATAAGATGGGGTGTGGGAAGGAGGGAAGGCAGGCTGGCCGTGTACCCAGAAAGGAGATTAGAGACCTCCCACTCTCAGCAGGACCCTTCTAACAGAGGTTCCCTCAGGGACACAAAGAACAGGACATTAGCCTTTCCCAAGAGGGTTCCTCATGGCAAATATATTCCAGGGCTTGGAAGAAACTGCCTCATGTGATAGGAAAGACATCACAGTCAACTCGATTTTTCTGGTTCTGAATTGATCTCTCTTTGTAGCCTCGAATTTAATCTCTTTCTTATTCCCAATTTTTCATATTTGAACTCCCTGATATGTTACAGAATCTATGATAAGTTATCTCATGTTATCAAAACTTGAAGGAGTGGGCATCATTCACCCATTTTACAGATCAGGAAACCGAGGCTCAGAGCTGCTAAGGAGGCCAACTGCTAATAACACCAAGTGCCACATTGCTCCATTTCCTGCTGTGGTCTCATTTCTCGAGAGAACCTATTATGTGTTTTGTGGGCTGGGAAAGCCCTTGGTTTGCATCTGGCTAAGTTGTGCACGTATGGTACAGTTGGTTGCGTTTGCTAAACCATCGTAGAAAATCCCCCCGTCAGATGGTGGGGCTGTTTCTGGAGCCCTGAGGTAGCTCTGCGGTCAGCGTGTGTCCAGCCCACCTGTTGTCTATGGCTGCATGAAGCCCTTGAGCCTAGGATGGCTTCTGGTCCCTGTGGCCTGAACTCCAAAGGCTGGGACTTAACATTCCGGAGAGCCTTGTGTTTGGGGCCACTTAGTTGTTTTGCGCTTGTAACTTAGCCCAAGTGTGGTGGATCATTCTGGGCTTCCCAGAACTGCTCTGTGATGTGGCGCACTTTCTCGTGCCAGCAGAGCCACCCCTGCAGGCCTTCTCTGGGCTGGACCATGGCAGTGACCTCAGAGCTCCAAGTAGCCGATGCCTGATAGTCCCCAGGGCTGCTGGGCAGCCACCACGAGTCATGCCCGGTCACAGCCAGCGTCTGGACAACAAGAGCGCCCACATTTACAGGCATGCACTTGCCTCTGAGCCCCCGGCCCTCCACCTCTCCCCTTCCAGCTCCTTGGGCAGGCTCACCATTCATTTGCCTCTGTGGATGCAGAGAACAAGGCTTTTGTTTTGACAATGAAAATCTCTCTCTCTGCTGGAGGAGGGAGAAGCATATGCTGTCGGGTTGTAACAAAATGTCAGTGTATCCAGAACGGTCTTCAATTGTGGCCTCATCTTGTCAAGGTCCTGTAGCCCAATCCCCAATTTCCAAGCTCTCGGGCCTGATGTCAGTCTTGTCTCTGGTGGTGCACAAGGCAGGGTGCTCCGGAAGGCTAGAAGGTCCGAGCCCCCCACAGGCTGCAGGTAAGGAGCCCCCCCTTGATGTATCTTACTTTGGCCTCGGTCTCTGTGGTGGGTGGGGCCACACCCTGGGCATTTTCCTTTAATTGTCCCGCACATGGGGTCAGTGTGTTAACACAGGACATACTGAATTGGAAGCATGCCATTCCATGATTCATTCGATGATAGTTATTTGGAGATAATGCCAGCCCAGCTGGGTGGCACCCCCTCCAAAAACAGCCAGCAGAGAATGCAGGCACGTTGTTACTCAGCTCCAGGTAGAATGCTGGGTGAATGAGCGTTTGCCTGCTCGGCCCCACAGAGTCCGTCTCTGGTTGTGTGTTGTACCCATCATGGCCCTTCATGGACTTTTCCAGTGGAGACTCACCAGCCGTTTGTGCTTTGTGAGTGGCAGGCCGTGGGGTGGGCAGACTGGAAGTGCTCTGGAGACAGACCCCCTGGGTACCAATGCCAGCCTCTGCCGCCCACTCACCTGTGATCTTGAGCAAGGCATGTCCTCTCTGGGCCTCTATTTCCTGCTCTGTGAAATGGGTTGTGTGGGTAGATAAGCAAGAATGTCTGGAAGCACCTAGCTGAGTGTGACACAGGAGGCTGGGTGACAAAGACCTTCTGTGACTCGAACTTAGAAGCTGCAAAGTGTGTTCTTCAAAATGTCACATGCCTGCGTCTAAACACATGACTCCATCACTCTGCTGGGGGCTTGGCTGGAACTTGAAGGAGGTGACTTCATACACCTCTCTGGACTGTGGGACTGTCACGTGCAGGATGCACAGCTGATCCCCAGGCAGTGTTCCTGTGGGAGGCTTCCCCGGCCTGTCTTCTTCCTCAGCCCTGAAAACACACGTGTGGTGCTGGCTGTCTCTGTAACGGCTTCCATTTCTGCGCATGCCTGAAAGTGGGACGATGCAGAAACTCAGAGTAAATGGCAAGTCGCCCTGACAAACTGACCTTTTCCCTTCCAGCCGCCAGGCGATCAGACGGGGAGGATGGAAGTTTCGACCCAGATAACAGGAAGGTAATCCTGGGGACAGCCCTTGCTTAGAACGGCCCAGTTCAGAAGGAAGTCATGTTTTGCGGGGGTTTCTCCAGTTTGAAACGTCAGGCTCCTCCCCTTACATTCTGCTCCTTAGGGGTCCTGCGAGGCGCCGTGGAACAGGGACCAAACATGAGAGCTGATTCCACCCACCTCCTTGTGACATTTAGGACCAGCGCCTCTGTCACCAGAATCCACCACCACTGTCCTTGTGTGTGCCCGTGTGACCTGGCTAAGCTCTGTGACTGAGGGGATGTCCAGGACGAAAGGGAGATAAAGACCCTTCCTGGGGCATCTGGGCTGATTGTCTAGAACAGGCTTGGCAGACAATTTCCATAAAGGGCCAGAGAGTAAAGCTTTAGGCTTTGGGAGCCGTATGGCGTCTGACGCAGCTCCTCCACTTGGAAAGCAACCGGAGAGGGTGCAGGGAGGAATGGGCCGGGCTGTGTTCCCGTAACACTCGATTATGAAAGCAGGCTGTGGGCAGCCCTTGGCCCGGGGGCGAGTCTGCCTGCCTGGCTCCAGAGCCGCGGCCCGCTTTGCTTGTCTTTTAGGAGGCTCCATGTGTGGGAAGAGCCCAAGGCTGGCTCACCAGGCTCTCACTGTGGGAAGCCATTTGGCCTCTGACCTCTTCATCTGTAAAATGGGGCTATGCCATTGTAGATGCCCAGAATTCACATGACTTTTTTTTCCTCAGCAGAAGACCAGCTGGCTGATTCTGAAGGGGGACGCAGACACTAGGACTAACTCTCCAGACCTGGACAGCCAGTCTTTGTCCCACAGTAGCGGCACCGACAGAGACCCTCTCCAATCAATGCAAGGGGACAACTTTTACTCACGTGAGTGGTTCTTTTGAGCAAGGTGCTGTAAATGTGGCAAAAAAAAGCCACAAAACAACGGGGCCCCACAACTTTGAGCCAATCCCCTGAGACCTAAGCCTTGCCCGTTAAAGAACATCCAAGATCAAGGCAGGAGGGGGCGCCTCTTGCTCTCTGCTGATCCCCTCTGTCTGCTGTTCACCAGCTCATGCCCTGCAAAGGGGCTATGCCAGCGTACCTCCAGAACTCTCCAGGGCAGCATTGGCCAGATCAGCCTCCTAAGTCTTTGGGAGGAAGGGCTTCCAGGCTGCCAGACTGAACGTTGAGGGCCTGTTTCCCTCCAGAGCGGACGTGAGCATGGTCCGGGGGGAGTCCAGACTCGGAGCTGCCGACAGAGCATCGTCACCCTGGGCTCACCCTGAGCAAGGAACCAGGGGTCAGGACTTTATACCTTAGGGCACATGGGACCCAGAGATGATGTCTGCCTGACCCTGGGGGTCCTGACACCTGACCTAGGAGCGACCTTCAGATGTAGGGCCGAACTCCAGGTAATGGTCTATATGTCCAGAGGCTATAAAGTGCCGGTGCAAACAGCCAGCTGTGGTCAGATGCACTCAGTAGATCCTGGCCGCGGCGCTGGGGCTCAGCAGGCTGTGGTGGCATTCTGCGGGCAAACCGGAGGCTTGGCTCGGAAGCAGAGGCCAAGACAGGATGGACGTGGGTGAGACGTGGAGGAAGGAGGCTGGCTGTGCCATGGGTCGGACCCGAGTCCAATCTGGGTGCCCCACTGACTGGCGGAGTGTCCCCAGGCAGTAACCCCTGTCGCCGGGCCTTGTTCTGGCTGGCTGTCTGGCCAGGTCGTTTAGGGACACGTGTATGCAGCCAGCACTCAGCCCGGGCCCTGCTCAGCAGACTGCCAGTCATCGTCGTCATTCTCATTGCTGTAAACTGTCTTACAAATGGAAGCTGAGAGTGTTCTGTTGGGAGAGGAGACAGTGAAGGAGCTTGGAAATTGTCATTTGTTAAAGAAGGATTCTAAACCAAGAAAAGGTGTGGTTTCGTGTGTGAGCTTTGCAAGTAGATGAGGTGTCTGTACCCACCACGCCTCCGGCCCCCCAGGACACAGGTCTCTAAAGGCAGGGCCCCTGGGCAGTGCGCGGTGCTGCCACCATGGGAAGGCCTAGCCAGCGGCATCCACAAAGTGTCGTCCAAGATGGCAGCGTGCTCTTCCCAGAGGGGCTCTGCTCTGCAAGGGACACGGGCTGCCTGACCCGCCCGTGGGCAGTGGCAGGGCTGCAGGGCTGGTCTCAGGACAGCGGGCCGGCTCCTCCCCGACGGCGGCGGCCTGTCCCCCCTGCTCCCAGGCTCCCACTACCCCCAGGGTGCAGGAAGGGCTTGTGCAGGGGCCCTGGGCCATGGCCTGGGCTGTGGGCCTTGCTGCTTTACACCCCTTTCTCCTAACAGCAGTTGTGTTTGGAAGGTGGTGAGCACCTGTAGCAGATGCCCAGTAGCGCCCAGCAGCCCTGCCAGGCCTTGGGGGCATCAGTGCCCACGAGCTCTCAGGGAACGAGGGCCTGGCATCCGGGAGGTCTTCTCCAGCTCCGTCCTCCCTTGCTGGGTGATGGGCGCACCTTCCTTTGCAAGGCTGGTGCCAGGCTCATGCCCACCCTGGGCGCTCCTCAGAGGAGGCCCCTTCTGCCCCCAGGGATCACTGCTTCTGTTGGTGGCCTGCCTGTGGCTCACGCTGAAGAAGGAGGGGGTGCTGTGAGGGGAGAAGCCCAGGGAGAAGATGGGCCCCCTTGGGGACCTCGCCGTGCGGCTGACCTGCCATGTGACTGGTCATGTCACCTGCACATGTGTGTGCTGCTTCCTCATGTCACCTGCACATGTGTGTGCTGGGCCGGGTGCCCTGAGCTTGTCCCAGGTGCCCCACGGATGGCAGACCCTGTGAGGCCCCGAGGCTGTGCCCGCGGTTTTGATCGGCCCGTCACACCCCCACGAGGGCCCGTTGTCAGGACGCCCCCTGCCACCGTCTGCATGACCCAGGCTATGCGTGTGGGCATGGATGGAGATGGGGCTGCCTCACCCAGGGCGCACCTGGCTGGCAGGAATTGGGTGGCCTGAGCCAGGAACCCACGCTCCTACCAGGGAGATTCCTCCAAACTAGAAGCCGTGTGCATGTGAGTGTGACCTTCCCTGGGCTGACACCTGGCTGCCAGGCCTGTGACGCCCCTTGCGCCCTCTCTGTGTGCTGGTGCTCTGGCGGCAGCTCCTCCGCAGGGGCAGACCCCGGGTCTAACCATTGCCCTGAGCCTTTATTTCTGTCCTGATGACGTTGCCACAGTTCCCTGTGAGCTTGGACACAGAGGCAAGGACCCAGCTGCCTTGCTCTCTGCCAGCCTCCTGAGAAATCTGGGTGGGACTGGCAATGCTCATAAACTGAGGGTTCTGTACCCTCTTCCCTTGGGGTTCTTTCAAACCTCACCATGTAGCCCCCAAACGTGAGGCCTTCAACACCTGTTCCATTTGCAAACAGCTGTTACTGAACAAGGCATTTGCACACGGCCAGGTGTGCTGCCTGCTTCCCTGGGGCGTCCATCTGTAGTGCCTCCAAGGAGGCAGGATTGTTGACAGTCAACACAGTGGGCACTCAATAAATGTTTGTTGAATTGAATTGCATTAAATTCAACGGGTATTTATTGAGCACCCTCTGTGTGCCAGACACTGTGTGGGGTGCCAAGGGGGAGACCAAGAGCACAAGAGCAGCCACTGCTGTGGAGAAGCACATGGGAAGCCAGGAGGCAGGTGCCTACGGGAGTGAGCGCATGCATGCCCTGCCACCGCTGGGTCCTCCGTGGGTTCACGGACCATCACCACCCCACCCTCTCATGACACCTTCAGCATGTCTCACCTGGGACTGAATTCATCATTCAGTCATTATTCCATCCTACCACTAAGCATTTATTGAGCACCTACTATGTGCTGGATATGGTGCTAGGCAGCAGAGAGGTGGTGATGCATACAGCCCAGCCCCCACTCCCCAGCCAAGAGGCAGGTGACTAGCAGCGGTGACAAACCTGTGTAACATCCCTCTCCTCCGTGGCAGTGGTTCTGAGTGGGCACTGCCACCCTCTCCAAAGAGGGTCCTGTTGAATGGGCATTTGCTGACAGGCACTGTTTTCCCTGAGGGTACACGCGGGGCATTGTCTGGATGGCATGTGGAGTAGGTCAGGCTGCGGACGAACCTGACTTCTGCGCAGGAAAGGGGTGGCATTGAGTTTTTGTTCCAAAGAAGAGGGTCTTGAGCCTCATGGGATGAGACAGGCTCCCCTCAGAAGAATACGAGGTGATGGGGGTCCCCCCAGCTGTAGGCCAGCCCACTGCTGCTCTGGGTTCCATCTGCACCTCAGGTCCTGTCTCCTCTTTGGAGAACTCCCACGTCCCCTTCTGGGTGGCCAGAGGTGTGTCAACATAAGACAACCTGCAGCTACTGGAGACCCTGCCCAGAGGATGCAATGATACCTAGAAAGGGCCGTGTCCTCAAATCCCAGCACATGGGAGGAATGGGGGGCTGCAGTCCAGCGAGGCAGCCTGTGGGGTGGGACTGAGCAGCACAGACGGGTGGCCCCAGGCGCTGGCTGCGCCCCCACCCCTGCTATAGCTAGACGTCCTGTTGCCTGTGTGTCCCTCCCTGTGAACTCCCACGACTGATGTTACAGGCTGTGCCCGCTCGCTGCCCACTGCTGCCCGGGGGCCTGGTCTGGGGCCAGGAACAGGACTGCCTCTGGGTCTCCCCAGTGTCTCCCAGGTGTGAGGGTGAGGCCTGGTCAGAAATGGCCTCTCCTGGCCCTGGTGCTCCTCTGCTATTTCTTCACTCACAGTAGGCGAGGCAAGGCCCGCGGAGAGGGCACAGCCTGCCCAGCCCTCAACCAGCAGTCCATGTGCCTGCACACCCACTCTGTGCGCCGGGGGGGGGGCAGAGAGCCAAGCACCCAGCACCCCTGCCCTGAGGCTCCCTCGGTGTAGTGGGGCAGGGACATAGGCAGAGGCTGAGTCAGTTGCATTGTCGCCCAGCAGGCCAGGGGCCAGGGGGCCAGGAGGGCTGGGGGCCAGGGGGTCAGGAGGGCTGAGGGCCCAGGGGGTCAGGAGGGCTG